AAAGAATAATGTACAAAGGTTAGCCCTAGGCGAGTCATAGAACTGGAGCTCAGCGGGCCGTGAATACATCACAATGTCTGCCCTCGCTAGCAGCTAGGATGGAAGGTGAAGGAAGAATTGTTTTATGTTCACCCATTGTGTGGTTAAACATTAGAAGAGGTGACAATGTCCAGTGCTTGAGATGATTTGGGGAAACAACACTGAGACTATAGTCTATTGTAACTTAAAAAAAATATATATACCTTCTGTGACAAAAATGTAAATGAAAAATACACTTACCACGCATGCCTATGACGACCTCGTGGGATTCGTCATCTTTTCACACTAAAACGATTTTATTATAAAGACGGTGTAGTTTTGGGCAAGTAACAAATGAGATACTAAAAGCGCATGCCTGCCGGGAAATAACTGGATATATGGGTGGTAACTAGCAGACTAGTTGTAGTAGCAAAAGATGAACGAAAGACAGGCTGCGGCTTTGTGATCTAAGCCCTGGGGTCCTGCGGAGCTACCAAGAGGGACAGGAAAGGGTCTCTGTTCCTATAAGGACCTTTCTGTGGAAGACAGAGGAAAGTTCTGGGTGTATTACAATAAGATTCTTTTAGAGAAACAACCCATAGCATGTGGGCCGGTAGGTCAGGAAGTTACTGTGCAAAGTCATGCACTATTGAAGAGAACAAGTCCCAGCACCTGAGGGAGGGAGGAAGCCGCAGGCTGAGGGACGCTCCTGGGGCCATGACGGCAGGCTGTAGACTCTGGGAAGGGCTAATGCTTAGTTCCCAGGCGGCCATTGTCCCAGTTCACAGGGGTAAGAGAAGTGCAGTCTTCTATCGGAAAGGATGGGGTTCCGGCTTCCCATCCCATTCTCATTCTCAGCTCTTGTTACTGGTTAGAGGGGCCACTCACGTAGGGAGACTGCTCTACTCAGACTGCCAAGTTACATGTTGATCTCATAAAAAAAAAAATCCTTCACAGAAACTTGAGTTAGATCAAGTATCTGGGCACTCAGTAGCCCAGTCAAGTCGGCACACAACCACCACAGCTGTTAAGGGCACAGTCGTGGGGCTTGAACTCAGGGCCTGGGCGCTGTCCCTCAGGTCTTCAGCTCAAGGCTGGCGCTCTACCGCTTGAACCACAGCACCACTATTTGTGTATGTGGTGCTGAAGAATTGAACCCAGGGCCTCGTGCATGGGAGGCGAGCGCTCTACCGCGGAGCCACCTTCCCAGCCCTGTTGTGGTTTTCTTGATGATCGCCACTCTGACTGGGCTGAGGATTTGGTGGCTCCGTGTCTAATCTGTGCGCCTTTGCTTCAGGAAGAGGTCTTTGCACACATGGAAGGGATATGGCTGGATAGTTAAAAAATAAAGAACGGTTTCCAGGGTTTGTGCTTGCCTGAACCATGCCCTTCTGGAACATTCCCCTCACACACTTGAACTGCCCAAAGCTCTTGAATTAAGGGTCGCTAAGACCTCCCTCAGCACTGCGTGTACCTTCTCCGTGGCCAGGTGAGGGCTACCTGTCGCTCTATGGACAGGAGAGTCCCAGTGTTTTCCACAGTAAAGCGGCTGTGGTGTCTGGAGACAGGAACTGTAGTAGTTCTATTTATAACCCTCTTTGTAGCGCATCTTCTGCTTCCTGGAGGTTATTTTTATGGGCGCTTTTATGTTCCTTTCAAAGTAGAAGGCAGAGTCACAACCCGGTCGACTGGAATTGGTAGGAATGCGTGGCGCACTCTTCCCGTGTGTAAATACGTGGTTTTCCTGTTCCGTGCCTTCCCCCACCACCACCCACCCCAGCGCCGGTGGCTGCCGCTTCCAAAGTGGCAGGTCCCACATGGGGCTGAATTAGAGGCCCCTTCTGGGACCCAGTGTGTGTGTGATCCTCATTGGTTGTGGAAATGGCAGAGTCTGCTTGCTGATCCTTCTGTACTGCTGAGTTGTTTCTGAGTGGAACCCCCCCCCCCCCAGAACCCCTCCTGTGGGACATACAGAATTAGAGACACCGGTCACGCTGCTTGAGGGGAAAGAACTCACCAGCTGTGGGGTGTGGATTGTGGGCTGGCCTTTGCTGAGAGCCTTCGAACTGCTGAGCCTCCCACGTGCATGAGTCTGGTGGCCTGGAGTAGCTCCTAAGGCGGCAGGCTCGGCTCCTGGGCTGTTTTGGATGTTGGATGCCCCGTGGCTCAGCGGGGAGGACCCTGGTCTCTGAGTTCAATCCTCGGTACAGCCAAAAGGGGGGCGGGGCGGGCAGTTTCCTACAAACGAATTGCAGGTATTTGCGCCAAGACAAACAGGTGAAGCCTGACTTCCCAGCCCGGAAGGACACGGGTGAGGAGCCTGCGCGGCCTGCCACGGCTGCTCAGCGCCTGTGAGGAGTTAGTTCTGTCGGTGGCCCGGTGGCCCCGATAGGAGATGGGGGCAAGGTACTTGCTGCTCGTCCTTCCGAGAACCTCAGCCCAATCTGACCATCAGGAAGACTCAACCCGGTAGGCCAGCCTACCGGGCGCGATCCACCCTGTTCTCAATTCTCGTCGAGGTCATCAAAAACAAGGGGACGTGGGAGTGCCTTGGGGGGCGCGGTGGTCGTGGTGGATCGTGGCATGGTGTCCCCCGTGGATTCTGATGAGAAGAAAGCCTGCAGTCTGTAGGAACACGAGGTGAAGACCAGAGGAACTCCAAGGATGGCTAATGGTGACATACTGTTAAAAGTGGTTTGTTGTGTTAGAGAAATATTAACCATATTAGTGAGATGGTAGCCCTGCGGGAACTGGGTGTCTGTGAGTGTATTTTTTACAACTTTTCTGGACACTTAAAACTATTGTGAAGTTTAAAAGTATTCAAGGGAGGGGCTGGGAAGGTGGCTCAGTGGTAGAGTGCTTGCCTTGCATGCATGAGGCTCTGGGTTCGATTCCTTAGCATCCCATAAGCAGAAAAAGCCGGAAGTGGCGCTGTGGCTCAAGTGGTAGAGCGCTAGCCTTGAGCTGAAGAGCTGAGGGACAGCGCCCAGGCCCAGAGTTCAGGCCCCACAACCAACCAAACAAAAGTATTCAAGAGGAATTTTGTTGTGTTGTGGTCCTGGATATTGAACTTAGGGCTTTGCATGTGCTGGCTTGTGCTCTCCTGAGCTACATCCACTGCCCCGAATTTTAAAATACTTAAAATTATAAAAACAAGCGTGTAGTATGAATACCTTCCCTTCTTACTGCGTCCATCCATGCCTCCGTCTCTCCTGTCCATCCTTCTGTGTACACTGTACGTAGAGCAATATCAATAGTGCTCATTTTAATGTATTGGATAAAATGGTGGAATTCATAATGATTTCTTTTTGAAGTGCTTGAATGGCTTTCAATGTGTGAATTCTAGCAGCATGTTAAAGTCATTATATTGCTCAGAGGAGGAGTTTGGAGAGACGCCAACCATCAGGAATAAATATTCGCATTACGATCAGAACCGGCCTCCCACTTGATTTTGTAAAGACCTGCCGAGTATTTGGCTCCACAAAGGGCTTACAGATGACAGCAGTCCAGAACCTTTCAATGCGGGGAGCATTTATTGTGTGTATTATGATGACCAGACATACCGAGGGCCCTCGTTGTGATTCCCCGTCTCTGACAAGCCCCCGCGGGGAAGAGTCTACACCATTGCTCTCCACAAAATGTCAGAGCCCAGTCTGGCATTGAGAAAGAACCATCCAAAAGAAAACGCCATTGCAGCCGGGCGCTGGTGGCTCACGCCTGTCATCCTAGCTACTCAGGAGGCTGAGATCTGAGGATCGCGGTTCAAAGCCAGCCCAGGCAGGAGAGACCATGAGACTCCTATCTCCAATAAACCACCAGAAAACCAGGAGTGGCGCTGTAGCTCAAGTGGTAGAGCGCTCGCCTTGAGCTGAAGAGCTGAAGGACAGCGCCCAGGCCCAGAGTTCAAGCCTCACGACCGACAAAAAAAAAAAAAAACGCCATTGCGTTCTCAGTAGAGGTCTGCCTGATGGGAGAGGCAGGTCTGACTTGGGTTGCTTCGGGTGAGTATAATTGCCACAAGGGCTTGGCTAGGAATATAAACTGAAACAAGACCGCATCGAGAATACTCCGCCTTCCTCCCTGTCCATTTGTGAGAGCAGCAAATGCCACCCCGACCGACAAAGCCGTGGAGGACAAGGGTGTAGGGAAGGGCCCTGCCCTCTACTTGCCTGAAATTGGGGAGATCCACCTTGATCACAGTTGAACCACTGAAGACAACGCTCTGTGGAAGACAGAGGACAGGGCCTCTACCGCCTGGGCCACGCCTTCAACCCTTTTGCTTTTAGCTTGTGTTTTAGACAGAACCTCACACTTTTTTACACGGCCAGCCTCAAAGTATCATCTTCCTAACTCTACCTCCCCCATAGCTGGCACGCCAAGCATGTGTCATCACGAACGAACTGTACTCACCAGTCTCTGCCCTTTATCTTCACCCCAGTTACCACCTGAGACCCAAAATCCTTTGTCTTGTCGAGTTATTTTTTGTCAGTCCTGGGGTTTGAACTCAGGGCCTGGGCGCTGTCCCTGAGCTTCGTTTTGCTCAAGGCTAGCGCTCTACCGCTTGAGCCGCAGCGCCACTCCCTGCTTTTTCTATTTATGTGGCACTGAGGAATGGAACCCAGGACTTCCCACATGCTAGGCAAGCACCCTGCCACTAAGCCCCAGCCCCAGCCCGTCTGGTCGTGTTTTTAAAACGTGAGTTACTCGTGGAGTATGCTCCCTAAACTGACGTTAAAGCCACTTGGCTGGGAACTGTGTTTTCCCTCATGAGTCCCATGTATTACAATGAAATAATGTACGTTAATAATAAATTTTTCTCTTGTTAACGTCTCTTGTTATGAAGTCTGCTGCAAACAAGAACCTTTCTGGTGTGAAGAAAACATTAGTGTTCTTCCTCAATCCTTCAAAGTAGCAAAGACAGCCTAATCTCTTTCAATTTCTAAAATGTGATGTCACGTGAAGGTCAGTTCCAAAACATCAGTATGTTAGCACTGGACAGAGACTCCAGGATCGTGGGTTCTAACCTCTTCATGCTGCAGGTGAGGTGCGGGTCTTTGCGTTCAGTTTTAAGGAAACGAAATGCAATTCTGCTGGTAAAAAAAAGTGAGGGGTGGCCCGTTCATTCCAGAAAATGTTCCAGTGAAATACTCTTTTAAATGTGCTCCCCGTATTGCATTATGATTAGGCTTCTAAAAACAGAATCCACGTACAACTTCTCGGACATGATCTAAGTTTTGCAGCCGCACATTCATTCCTGGTGTGTGGCATGTGGACCAGGCTTTGTGCTGGCACCCCAGGGATTGGGGAAATGGTCCTCAGTTCTTCCGTGAAGTAGCATAGGACAGCGCTGTGGCCAGTTTGCTGCTTTTTATTTCTATTGCAATAAGGAGACCGGGGCTAAGTAACATGGTCTTGTTCTCATGCCCATCCTGGTGCCTTGCTAGGTGGAGGCCCCTTTCCACCCAGCTCTGAGAAGCCTGGAGGTGAGAGCGGCCATTCATTGAATTGCAGAGGTCGTGCAACTTTGCTATGGAGAGCATTGACCTCTGACTGTGTCCCTACATGGTGTGATTTGCCCACCTCTTGACTATCCCCTCAATGAAAATTTTGAGGTGTATCCCCGGTATGGTCTACTTCTGTTGGAATTGGATCCCCACCCCCAAAACGTGTGGGGTTTTTTTCATCCTTAAGAGCTTCATGGACGCTCCATTCGGGGCTGCAGGTCTTTGTGGAGAGGGTCTACCTGCAGTTGGCAGCTCTCCAATAAAGACTCCCAACTCCGCCTCTCAAAATGTCGACTGGATTCCTGTGCAGCTCTCTCTCTCTCTCTCTCTCTCTCTCTCTCTCACACACACACACACACACGTGGTAGGCACGTGTGCTATTTAACCTGGATGCCTGCTTCCTACTTGCCAGGAATTTGGGGATGGCGATCACTGTCTTTCTTCCCGAAAGGAGGGCAGTTAAGGTTTTGCCAGGGTGGGGGAGGGCACAGGTCCATTCCGGGAGCAATCATCATCCTCAGACGGCTGTACCCTCCTAGAGGGGCTGTCACACAGTCCGCGATTGCAGAGAGGAGCTTTAAAATCTAGACCAGTGCCAGGGCCAGGTAGGAAACCACAGGGAGACGCAATCCCCACGGAAGCAGGCCTCTGCATCCGGGCCCAGGGGATTATCAGTAAAGGGTTGGAAGCCGGGGGTCCGAGCCACAGAGGCGTATGCAACGCCCAGCTGTGTGTCTAAGTAACAACAGAACGTGTGTTCCGGGCTCCCCTCCCGCCTCTGTCACTGCCTGAGGTCGCCACGCTCTCTTTTTGAAGTGGGTGCCCGCGGGCGAGGTTTGGAGCAGCCAAAAGAGAAAACCCGACGTGAGGAAACACAAGATTGAGTACCAGAACCATCTGGGAGGGGAGGGGTGCGCTGTGATCTGGCCAGGAGGAAGGAACAGAGTTGCGCAGCTGGCTTGGTGGAGCTCGGTGGGGGCCGGGCACCCGGGAGCAGAGGTTGGCGCGGCTTCCCACCTCCCACGGCCAGGCTTGTGTCCTGCAGGGCTGATCGCCTCGGGGCTGGGGCCAAGGCCCCCGGCCTGTCCCTCGGAAAGCACTCCTGGCCATCCTGATGGGTTCCTGGGAGAATTCCGCCACTTCTGGGAAGACCTGTGACTGCTTCCATTTTCTCCTGGATTGGTCAAGGACCCTTGGCTGGCCCGAGAGACTTCCTGACTTCTGGAGAGTGTCCACGGAGGTCATGGCTCTCTCCAGATGTTCAGGCACGGACACTTGCCCAGCGTCTTGCAGTTACTGCTCTTTGGGGGAGGGGGGCAGCGCGGGTGTCTTTCAGAACAAGGGGTGGACAAGTTTGCCATTTAAACCTTATGGGTTTGAGTGCTCCGCTTGTGAACTTTAGTCTTTTGGTGATAACTCCTGTCCAAACGCAGCTTCCTGTCCTCATAGGAACAAACAAACAAAAATAGTCTCCAGGGGCTGGGAAGGTGGCTCAGTGGTAGAGCGCTTGCCTTGCATGCATGAGGCCCTGGGTTCGATTCCTCAGCACCACATAAGCAGAAAAAGCCGGAAGTGGCGCTGTGGCTCAAGTGGTAGAGCACTAGCCTTGAGCTGAAGAGCTGAGGGACAGCGCCCAGGTCCAGAGTTCAAACCCCACGACTGACAAAAAAAAAAAAAAAAAGAGGTCTTAGAATGACTGTTTCGGGTTATGAACCAGTCATTTTTCCACCCTGACATTTTGTTAGGCTCCACATTTTTGTTAATGAGCGTGCTTCCCCTGAGTGTATTTTTTAAATGTTGGAAATGGCCTGAATTTTATCAGCATGTGTACATAGTTTTAAAAACATCAAACAATTCCAAAGAGCTCATAATAGAAAACAGAAATCCCCTCCCAGCCCAGCCCTACCCAACCCCAAGCCTGTTTTTTTTTTTCTTCTTCTTCTGGTTATAATTTCATTTTCCTCAACCCTATATATAGTTTATGCTATTCTTTTTATTTGTCAAGTTTAGAAGATAACATCAAAGAGGAGCTCAGTTCTCTCTCATACCAACCACATCTCATTGCTTTTTTCACTCCTGAAATGTGTGTGCATGGTTTCAGTTGAACGCATCATGATCGGTGTGCATATTCACGGCTAAACCAACAGTCTGACCACGGTATTTCTGTTTTAGTTACCTTGGGTTTTTTTTTCACTTGTCTTTATTTTTTTACTTGTTTGTATTCACTTTTTTCAAATACATCTTGTGATTCTTCTTAAGTGGCTCTAAGAGAGCGTTCAGCAGCTCCGATAATTCTACCCTCAGCCCGCAGCTCCTACAAATGGGCTTCATTGTAATATGCGCCCGATTACAGCAATGCTCAGCTTCACCTCTTAGCTGGCTCCACCCATCCATCCATCGCTAAAGAAACTTAATAGGCCGGGTGCTGGTGGCTCATGCCTGTAATCCTAGCTACTCTGGAGGCTGAGATCTGAGGATCAAGGTTCAAAGCCAGCCTGTGCAGGAAAGTCCATGAGACTCTCATCTTCAATGAACCATCAGAAAAGCAGAAGTGGTGCTGTGGCTCAAGTGGTAGAGTGCTAGCCTTGAGCTGAAGAGCTGAGGGACAGTGCCCAGGCCCAGAGTTCAAGCCCCATGACTGACAAAAAAAAAAAAGAGCCAGTGGTCCTGACTGAAATTGAGGACCGAGGCTGACTGCTGGGGTGTGCTTTTTCACTCTCGGATAATCTATGCGAGGTTGGTTTAAAGACTGACATTCTCCCAGGAGACCCTTGGGTTGGGTTGGGTTTTCTTTCTCTGATGTTGTGCAATTGGACTTGATTATCTTATAAGGCCTAGAAAGTTCTCCTTTGGCCTATCTGCAGAGAAGACCTTCCCGGCAGGCGGTGGGGGTTCAGGAGGACCTGGCCGGCTGGGCACACAGGTTGGGGGTGTGGCTGCCATGGGCTGTCCACTCAGCACACTGCGTGTGGCGGTGCTGTGTGCAGTGTGTCTGGGCTGAGGTGGACAGGCAGGTGGACAGGCAGGCCCAGAACTGCAACTTGCTGCCCTATTTGTTTTTTTTTTTTTTTTTTAATTTCTTGGCAGTCTTAGGACTTGAACTCAGGGCCTGGGTGCTGTCTTTGAGCTTCTTTTGCTCAAGGCAAACACTCTACCACTTGAGTCACAGCACCACTTCTGGCTTTTTCTGTGTCTGTGGTGCTGAGGAATCGAACCCAGGGCCTCATGCATGCAAGGCAAGCACTGAGCCACCTTCCCATATGTGTTTTAAATATGACACACAGGTAGACAGATGTGTCAGCGCGGTGGGAGGAGGGCTCGCAGGCACTGTGCACCACACACACACACACACACACACACACACACACACACACACACACACACACACACACACACACACACACACACACACACACACACACACACACACACCCTGTGCGCACGCGCGGGGTCAGCTCTCTGCAGGCCCAGGTGTGTCGGGCCGAGGCCGGGCCAAGCCCAGGCCCAGGCGCGGGGCGGGGCGGGGCGTGGCGGCCGGCGGCGCCCGGGTGAAGCCCCGTCCCGGTCCCGGTCCCCCGCCCTCGCCCCGGTCCGCGCGCCCGGCCGGGGCTGCGTCCGGCCCGGAGTCGTCCGAGGGCCCCGCGGGGCCGCGGTGCGTCCCGGGCCGGGCGCGCTTCGTGCGTGCAGCGCCCGGCGGGCGGCGAGGAGCCTCCGTCCCGGTCCGGGTCCCGGCGGGGCCCCGCGGGGGCCGCTCGGGAAGGAACCCCCGCCCGCCCCGCGCCCCGCCCCGCGGCTCCGCCCGGCCCCGCCCGCCCCGCGCCCCGCCCCGCCCCGCGCCCGGCCCCGCCCCGCGCCCGGCCCCGCCCCGCGCCCGGCCCCGCCCCGCGCCCGGCCCCGCCCCGCGCCCGGCCCCGCCCCGCGCCCGGCCCCGCCCGGCCCCGCCCCGCGCCCGGCCCCGCCCGGCCCCGCCCGCCCCGCGCCCCGCCCCGCGGCTCCGCCCGGCCCCGCCCGCCCCGCGCCCGGCCCCGCCCCGCGCCCGGCCCGCGCCCCGCCCCGCCCCGCGCCCCGCCCCGCGGCTCCGCCCGGCCCCGCCCCGCGCCCCGCCCCGCCCCGCCCGGCCCCGCCCCGCGCCCCGCCCCGCCCGGCCCCGCCCCGCCCCGCGCCCCGCCCCGCCCGGCCCCGCCCGGCCCCGCCCCGCCCCGCGCCCGGCCCCGCCCCGCCCCGCGGCTCCGCCCGGCCCCGCCCCTCGCCCCGCGCCCCGCCCCGCCCCGCGCCCCGCCCCGCGGCTCCGCCCGGCCCCGCCCCGCGCCCGGCCCCGCCCCGCCCCGCCCCGCCCCGCCCCGCCCCGCCCCGCCCCGCCCCGCGCCCCGCCCCGCCCCGCCGCGCCTGCCCGCCTGGCTGGCGCCCGAGCTGCGGCTGCACTGCCGGCTGCCTGAGCTGCGCCTGGCCGGCCTGCGCGGGCCCCTGCGCGGCGCTGCGCCTGCGCCTCGCGCCCGACGCCGACCTCGCCGAGCTGGAGCTCGGGGCGCCGCTGCGGCCCGGCCGCCGCTACGAGCTCAGCCTGCGCTTCGCCGGCCGCGCCGCGCCCGCCAGGGGCTGTTCCTGTCCGAGTACGGCGAGGCAGGCCGCCGCGGGTGAGCGCGGGCCCGGCCTCCCCGCCCCGGCCTCCCCGCCCCGGCCCCGGCCTCCCCGCCCCGGCCCCGGCCTCCCCGCCCCGGCCTCCCCGCCCCGGCCCCGGCCTCCCCGCCCCGGCCCCGGCCTCCCCGCCCCGGCCCCGGCCTCCCCGCCCCCGCCCCGGCCTCCCCGCCCCCGCCCCGGCCTCCCCGCCCCCGCCCCGGCCTCCCCCCATGTCCCCTCCGGGCCGCTCTGCCTCGCTTCCCTCTCCCACTCCCCCTTGCCTGGGAACACAGACTTCCCGCGTGCTCATGAGTGTGTGCATGTGCATGTGTGTGTGTGTGTGTGCCAGCACCTGGTTGTGGGGCTTGAGCTCTGGGCCTGGGCGCTGTCCCTCAGCTCTTCAGCTCGAGGCGAGCACTCTACCCCTTGAGCCACAGCGCCACTTCTGGTTTTCTGGTGGTTCATTGGAGATCAGAGTCTCAGAGACTTTCCTGTCCGGGCTGGGTTTGAACCGGGATCCTCAGATCTCAGCCTCCTGAGTGGCTAGGATGACAGGCGGGAGCCGCTGGGGCCTGTGGTGTGGGTGGAGGTGTAGTGCAGCCACTCTGGAGATTAGGGGTTCCCTCCAAACATGAAACTTCAGGAGACCAAGCGTGAGAGAAATACACTTCGAGAACTGGGCATTCAGAGGAGACCCCGTCTCCACCCGCGGCTGGGCACAGTGCCGTGAGCCTGTCCCTAGCGTCAGTGGCAGAAGCTGAAAATGGGTGGATGGAGGGCCAGGCAAAAACCAGTAAAACCCTATCCTCAGATCCCTGGGGAGGCGCCGCGGTGGTAGACAAATGGCCCCCAAAGCTGCCCTTGTTCTCTGGCCTTCACGCCATACCTGGCAGGCCGCGGTGCGTCTCGGTTTTCCTCTGGGTTTCCTGGACGGGGACACACTGGTGGTGTTGCTCTCGGGGTCTTGGCCTTCCGGCCCGAGGTTGGAGGACTGCTCGCGCCTCACCTCAGCTCCCGGTCCACGTGGAAAGAAGGCTGGGCCTGCGGCCACCCGCCTCCTGCCATGTCTCTCCTCTGTCTCTATGTCCACTTCCTCCTGGCTCTGTGACCTTCACGGGCCAGCTGAGAGGCTGGAGGGCCCCCCCTGCCCCCCGAGTTCTGAAGGCCTCTGGCTTCGGATGCCTCGGTAAGGGAGGGGGTGACTCCTCCTTCCTTTGGGGTTTTGTATCTGTTGTATCACACGGCCTGGTTGGACACAACCGCCGGCCACGCAAGGAATGAAACAAACGTGGGCCACGGCCAGCGGTTGAACATCTGGCTCCACTCAACATTCCGATTTCTGGGTGTGCACCACGTAGCAAAACTGAAGTGGAGGGAAACCCTTGAAGGATTGGATTCAGTCTCCGACCAACTCTGATGAATCGCACTTGAGCACCATGGCTGCAGGCGGACGGAGCTCGCCAGGGCATTTGCAATGAAAGGCTTTGCCAACAGAATTGGGGGGGGGGGCGCGTATTATTCTTTTCTTTATTTTGTCAGTTGTGGGGCTTGAACTCTGGGCCTGGGCGCTGTGCCTCACCTCTTCAGCTCAAGGCGAGCGCTCTACCACTTGAGCCACAGCGCTACTTCTGGTTTTCTGGTGGTTCATTGGAGATAGGGGTCTCATGGACTTTCCTGCCTGGGCTGGCCTTGAACCACGATCCTCAGATCTCAGCCTCCTGAGTAGCTAGGATGACAGGTGTGAGCCACCGGCGCTGGTTGGTGGCAGCCCGGTTTTTCTCCCTCCTTTGTTCCTTGAAAACCCCCTGAGAGGCAGAGGCTGGGAAGCCACAGCACAGGACAGGTCATCGCCAAGCCTGACTTTCTGGCATTTCTTTTACGGAACAGTTGGCGCTTGAATGGTTTCTGAATGTACAGCCGTGCATCCTCTGATCAGATATACTTCCTCGCTGTACAGCACACGGCTTTGTTTTTGGTGTTCACATGCCATTTCGTACAAAGTGTTCTCCAGGCTCAGAGAGGGCTGTGGGTCATCTCCCGGCCACGGGCTCCTCCTCACTGCCCGGCCTTCGCCCTCTGCTCGTGGGATGTCTTTACTTGCTCTTCAGGATTAGTTTTCAAGCTCTGAATGGCCCTTGAGATCATCCGGAGGTACTGGGATTTGAACTCAAGGCTCTGTGCTCGAAAGGTAGGCCCTCTACCTCTCAGCCATTCAGTCATTCTTCACCCTGGTTGCTTCAGAGACAGGAGTTCACTTCTTGCCCAAGCTCCCGTCCAGACAGCCGTCCGCCCATTTTAGACTTGGTGTCTTAACTGGGCAGATAGAAGCGAGCTTCCACGAGTAGCGTTTCAGAGGCTTTTCTGCCTGGGCCTGGCCTCGAGACACAATCCTGTATAGTCTCAGCCTCCCAGGAAGCACGGATGACAGGCCTCTGTGCCCAGCTATAGGATAGGAAGGGCCGCCATGAACATTTCTGCCCAGGCCGGCCTCCAATCCTGATTCTCCCATTGTCAGCCTCCAGAATATCTAGAATCACAGTGCGAAACAGACACCTGGCCTTTCTGTGCTGCGTTGTCTAGAAAAGGAGATCTAGAGAGAGGGCAAAGGCGGCTTCAAAGCCGGAGGTGTGCACCTGGGTTTCTGCTGAGCCTCTGGACGGCGTCTCCGGAGGCAGAATTCTCTATTGGGTGTTTCCGTGTCTTTGGTTGTGCGGCTTCTGTCCTTCCTCTGTATTTAAACGTAGCGACCCGCATCCCAATACAACAAACCGCAAACACGCTTCAAGCTCTTCTGTCTACGCAGTAAGCAGTCTGCGCGCCACAGCAGCTCACGGCTGAGCAGATGCTTACACAGCTGCTGTGGACCCAGAGCTTGCAGGAATTGCAGATGACTCAAATAAACATAAAGGGGGTGGTGTAAAAAAGAAACATCAATTAACCCCTAGCTTCTAGTCTTTTTTTTTTTATTTTGGAAGTCAAACGCGATTTATATTTAGCTTGCTGTAGACTGAAATCCTCACAACCTATTAAGCGGCTTGTTTGTTTGTTACAAGTTATGGGCCTGGGCGCTGTCCCTCAGCTCTTCAGCTCAAGGCGAGCGCTCTACCACTTGAGCCACAGCGCCACTTCTGGTTTTCTGAGTGGTTCATTGGAGATAAAGAGTCTCAGGGATTTTCCTGCCCAGGCTGACTTTGAACCACAGTCCTTAGATCTCAGCCTCCTGAATAGCTGGGCTGAGCGGCAGGAGCCACCGGCGCCAGGCTTCTTGCTGGCTTTAGTTACTAATAATATAAAAGCGTGAGCAGCAACACAGAGTTGATCGTGTTGCTGTTTCCTAGTGGGGGGGGAGCTGAGGCTCGGGGGGATTCTGGGTCTTGGGTCTAGATCTTTCCATCAGCAGCCGGGGCCTCACGGGCTCCCTTTCCTGTCCGCGTGTTTTAAGGGCTCATGTCTGAAAAGGTTGACATGGTGCCTTTACTATGTCTGTTCTTATATTTTTATTAAAAAAAAAGTTTGAAAGGTTGACGAGCTGATCAGGCAGATACTATTTTGTAGTTGGGAAGGAATGAGCTTCTTGTTTGAAGATTTCCGGTGTGGTGGGGAGTGGGGTCTGTGTGGCAGAGCGGGCCTCGAACTTGCAGAGAAAGCTTGGAGCGACTCCGCACAGGCCTTCTGATCAGTGCCCCCCCTCCCCCCCCCCCGTCCGTCTGTCCGTCCGTCCGTCCGTCCGTCCATCCGCATAGGTATTTTGCTTCCATGAATCTGGGGCAATGCGAAATGAACTCCCCCCCCCCCCCCCCCCCCCCCCCCGTATTTCAGGGCCCTGATAGCGTCTCATTTGGAGCCAACCTTCGCCAGGACCGTCTTCCCCTGCCTGGATGAGCCGGCTCTGAAGGCCACCTTCAACATCACCATCATCCACCACTCCAGCTACGTGGCCCTGTCCAACATGCCCCCGCTGGGTGAGTCGCTTCCTCCCGCAGCTCTGCCGGCTCGAGCTCTGGTGTGGCTGGGGCGGCCGGCTCCCCCGGGCGGTGTGATCGTGGGTGCCCTGGCTCACAGCCGGGCAGAGCAGGACCTGCCTATGTGCTGGAACCCGGCAAACAGGGCCCTTGCTTGGTCACACAGGCGGCCGCCCAACCAGGTTCTACCTCTCGCTATTATTGGTCCTTAGTGGGAATGAGCCGGTGTGGGGGTCTTGGTTTGAATCTGATGCGTGATGTGTTTTATTTGGCTCTTGAGTTTTTCTCTTCCTCCCTCCCTCCCTCCCTCCCTCTCTCCCTTCCTTCCTTCTTTCCTTCCTTCCTTCCTTTTTTTTTGTCGGTCGTGGGGCTTGAACTCTGGGCCTGGGCGTTGTCCCTCAGCTCTTCAGCTCAAGGCGAGCGCTCTACCACTTGAGCTACAGCGCCACTTCCGGTTTTCTGGTAGTTTATTGGAGATAGGAGTCTCACAGTCTCTCCTGCCCGGGCTGGCTTTGAACCGTGATCCTCAGATCTCAGCCTCCTGAATAGCTAGGATGACAGGCCTGAGCCACCAGCGCCCGGCCACGTCCAGTTTTCTGAGTGGTTTGTTAGAGATCAGAGTCCCTCTGGCTTTCCTGCCCGGGCTGGCTTTGAACTGCCATCCTCAGATCTCAGCCTCTTGAGTAGCTGGGGTGACAGGCGGGAGCCACCAGCGCCCGACGACTTGATTGATTCTTGTCACTGCTTGTTTTCAGTGGTTGTACGAAGGGGTGTCAACGCCACAGGTCAGGTAGTGCGTGCGCGTGCGCAGTGTCTCGCGCAGTGTCAGCCCTTGCGTCCTCCTCCCCGACCTGTCCCCAGCCCAGCCCCACCCGCAAGTTCAGTGGCTCCGTGTTTCCATCTCTCCACACCAGACGTGAAGACCCCACCCGCCTGCCCTTCCCCGCTCCACTCCACGAGACGCAGAGGCTTCGTCTCTTTAAAAAAAAAAATCTAGATTTTTCTTTCCTTGAAGAAATCAGAACAGCTGAGCCCTGGCTGTGTGACTGACAGGTGACAGTAACCATTGGCAGTGGAGAAGAGGGCTCGGGCGCCACACGATGCCCCGCCCCCTCCCCGTCCTGTCCCATCACGTCAGACAGGTGTACCAGGTGGTGAGGGCGGCTTTAGGCTGCGCAGGGCCTGTGCTGAGCGAGCTCCTCTTCCGACTGCTGTTGAACTTACCCACCTGTGACTGAGCCCTGACTGGGTCGGTTGTCAATGTGTAAAAACCTGTGACGATTTGATACAAGAATTCAAAGTGTCGTCTGGGCGTCGGTGGCTCACACCTGTAATCCTAGCTACTCAGGAGGCTGAGATCTGAGGATCACGGTGAGAAGCCAGCCTGGGCAGGAAAGAACGTGAGACTCTGATCTCCAACAAACCACCAGAAAACAGGAAGTGGAGGTGTGGTTCAAGCGGTAGAGCGCTCACCTTGAGCAGAAGAGCTGAGGGACAGCGCCCAGGCCCTGCATTCAAACCACAGGACTGGCACAAAAATCACACAAGGACTGCCAAGTCGTGGTCAAATCTGGGCGGGGAGCATGCAGGCCCACGCCCCGAAGCACTAGAGAATATTCTTGACTGCATCATAGTGATACATATTTGTAAGTTACAGTGTGTTCTGATCAAATCAGGGTAGATAGTGCTACTGTTGCCTTTATTATTACTCCACGTTTACATCCTGGAGAGAGAGAGAGACAGAGACAGACAGAAAGAGAGGGACAGAGACACAGACACACTCCTTCGTGTAGTTGGATGGTTCCTGGTAGGGAGGGAACTCCGCCCCACTGGATTATGGGAAGTACTGGGTAGGTGGTTTGATGGGAACCCACCCGGCCAAGGGCCTCCGAGTTGGAAATGGCTTCCGTCAGCAGTCACTGGACTGAAGCTGGTTTCCCCCAGGTCAGTCAGAGATGGTGGACCAGGACGGAAGCCGGTGGACCGTCACCACGTTCCACACCACACCCCCGATGCCCACGTACTTGGTGGCATTTGTGGTGTGTGACTTTGACTGCGTCAGCAGGACGGAGCGGGGGAAAGAGGTGCGTGATGGTGCGGGGTGGAGGGGTTGGCCGAACGAGACATGACCGGCGGGCATGGTGGTGCACAGCTGTAATCCCGGCCCTCCTCCGTGCTCTGCGCTCAGCTGTTTCTGAAGCTAACTGCGTTCACATTTTCCTTTCCTTACCTCTCACTTCTGCTCCAAGGGTTTCTAGTTTTATGCAGGTTCTGAAGAACATGCTGGAGCGTCTATTAAGAATGACTTAATGCCGGGCGCCGGGGGCTCACGCCTGTCATCCTAGCTACTCAGGAGGCTGAGATCTGAGGATCCTGGTTCAAAGCCAGCCCGGGCAGGAAACTCCGTGAGACTTTGATCTCCAGTGAACCACTCAGAAAACCAGAAGTGGCGCTGTGGCTCAAGTGGTAGAGCACTCCCCTTGAGCTGAAGAGCTGAGGGACAGCGCCCAGGCCCAGAGTTCAAGCCCCACAACCGACCAAAAAAAAGGAGAGAATGGCTTGGATGATATTGGTGTAGAATATAAATGCGTCCGATTCGGGTGGTGCTGGTGCGACCCGCAAGCCTCCCGCTTGAGCGACAAATCAGAAAAAATGGCGAGAGGTCCTTTTGCTGTCAAGGGTGTGTGAGAACAGGGATTTTCACTTGGTGCCACACACTTCGAACCCAACGAAGTCTCGATCCACATCTTGAAATTCGAGGAATGAATCTTAACTTTTAGAAAGGAAGTTGGGATTATGTTTTGTTTATTTTTATTGTGGACATTGAACTCAGAACCTCGTGCTTGCCTAGGCAAGCGTTCATGGGACTCGAACTCTGGGCCTGGGCGCTGTCCCTCAGCTCTTCAGCTCAAGGTGAGCGCTCGACCACTTGAGCCACGGTGCCACGAGCGGTTTTCGGGTGGTTTATTGGAGATCAGAGTTAGCACAGACGAACGGCAGGAAGGGTTTTCGTGGTGGGGTTTGAACGCGTACTTAAATAACTCACAGGGGAGTTTCTCCTTCCCCCGCGTTCCTCTTCCTTCGCCTTCCCCCCCTCCCTCTTTTTTACTTACTTTGTGATGGTTTGGGGTGCGTTTGGTTGTGCCACTCACTGGTGAGTGAATTGCCTTGTGGGATGTTTCTCACATGCTCAGTTCCGCTGGTGATGGGCTAGGGCTGTGCTGTAGGGCAGCGTGGGGGTGGTGGGGGTGGAGGGGGCGGAGGGGGGGGGCGGAGGGGGAGCGGCATTGTCCCCGGATCATTACTGCTCATCCTCATGGCTGCCTCCCCGCCTCCCCCGTAGATCAGCGTGTGGGCCCGCGCAGACGCCATTGCCCGCGGCCACGCCGACTTTGCCCTGAACATCACGGGCCCCATCTTCTCGTTTCTGGAGGATTTATTTAACATCAGCTATCCTCTTCCGAAGACAGGTAAGGCGCAGGGGACCCCGGGGTGAAGCCCGCATGACGACGTCAAGCCACCAGCTCCAGTTTTGGGGCTCCAGACTCGGCAGCTTTGGCCCCTGCCCTGTGTGGTGCCCTGTGCCCAGCGGGCTGACCCTGCCCCCAGGCTCAGGCTGCTCCTGGGCGCCCCAGGGCCTCCCTGCCCCTCCCAGGCCCCCCACAGGGCCCCGGGCCTTTCCCTCCGTAGGATCAGTTTCCTCCACCCCTAAATATTCTTTTTGTCATTGTTGTTGGTGGTTGTGGGGCTTGAACTCTGGGCCTGGGCGCTGTCACTCAGCTCTTCAGCTCAAGGCGGGTGCTCTACCACTTGAGCCACAGCGCCACTTCTGGTTTTCTGGTGGTTCATGGGAGATGAGTCTCACGGCCTTTCCTGCCCGGGCTGGCCTTGAACTACAATCCTCAGATCTCAGCCTCCTGAGCAGCTGGGATGACAGGTGTGAGCCACCAGCACCCAGCTTCTATAATGAATTCTTGCCTGCATTCTCTCCCTGTGACCGTGTCCAGGAAAGAAAGCACCATCAGGGTCCTGGCGCTGGGTTCCGGGGCTCAAGCTCAGGGCCTCTGACTCGGCCTCACTCCATCCTTTCCGGCTTTTGGGGTCTCCCAGCTTGCTGGTTTGGAGGTGGTCTCACTAACTTTATTCCCCAGGCTGGCCTGGGACCCTGACTCTGACACTCTGCCTGCCCAGGAGCTGGGATTACAGCTGGGCCTCGCCACGCCGGCTCCCCACCCTGAGAGTGGTCTCCTGTGGCTTTAATTTTCCGCTTCTCTAGATACCCCGTGTCTTTTGACGTCTGTTTGTCATTTGTAGCTTCTTTAGCGCGGTGTGTGTGTTCAGATCTTTTGCCCGTTTTGTGTTGCGGCGGTTGAGTTTTAAGGGTTCTCTGTCTGTTTGGGTGTAGGCCCTTCATCAGACAGACTCACATGATCCTGGGTATTGGGCACCTGCTTGTAATTCAGCGCTTGAGCGGTGGAGACAGGAGTTCAAAGCCAGCCTGGGCCTTGAACTTCTTTGATTGATGTAGAGTCAAAATCATTTATTTTCTGGTCTCTGTCTTTGGTATTTACTTTTTATTAAAAAAAATACTTCTTAGGTTATAAATACTCACTTGCTTCTTCAAAACTTTCATGACTTCATTTTTGAGATGATTGATAGCTAGGATCTCAGCCGCTGGGAGGAAAACAAAGCAAAACAACGCGGAAAGCTGCTCTCACCAATTCCCCTGCATCAATCCACTTAGATCTCGTCGCTCTGCCCGTCTTCGACGCGCGGGCCATGGAGAACTGGGGGCTGCTGATGTTTGATGAGTCCCTGCTGTTGCTGCCACCCAGCCAGGATCTGGCAGAAAAAAAGACTCTCATCTCCTACATCGTGTCCCACGAGGTTGGACACCAGGCACGTGGTAAAACGTCCCTCCTTGTTTTCTCCAAATAGCAGATAACAAAGCACTACCGGGTGTGTGTGTGTGTGTGTGTGTGTGGAAGGCCTCTGGGTAGCGGGTCCAGTTAGATTTGAACTACCAGCGGTGGATCGTAAGGATGAGAACCAGTCTAGTCCAGGCTGAGGACTTACCTGTGAAGTTCCTCTTGAAGGAAGGTAAGCCGCAGGGGGCCAGGCGGGGTGGTGCAGGCCTGTCCCTCAGCAACTCAGGAGGTGGATAGGAGGATCACATTCCAAGGGCAAAAGCACAAGACCTCATCTAAAAAGTAAACGAAAGCACACGGAACTGGGGAAAATGGCCCACATGGGAGATTGCTTGCCTGGCAATCCTGAAGTCTGCAGGTCCTCTCCCGCCAGAGACAGCGTGGAGGGGGAAGAGAGGAAAGGGGAAGAAAGAAGGAGGGAGGGCGGAGGAGGGAGAGAAGAAGAGAGGGGAGGATGAAGGAGAAAAGGAAAGAAAAAAGGAATATTCAGAAAGGTCGCTGAGCCAGGCGCCGGTGGCTCACGCCTGTCATCCTAGCTACTCAGGAGGCTGAGATCTGAGGATCGCGGTTCAAAGCCAGCCCGGGCTGGAAACTCTGTGAGACTCTTTTTTTTTTTTTTTTGTCAGTCGTGGGGCTTGAACTCAGGGCCTGGGCGCTGTCCCTCAGCTCTTCAGCTCAAGGCGAGCGCTCTACCACTTGAGCTACAGCGCCACTTCCGGTTTTCTAGTGGTTTATTGGAGATAGGAGTCTCACGGTCTCTCCTGCCTGGGCTGGCTTTGAACCGCGATCCTCAGATCTCAGCCTCCTGAGTAGCTAGGATTACAGGCGTGAGCCACCAGCTCCCGGCTTTCTGTGAGACTCTTATCTCCAATGAACCACTAGAAAACTGGAAGTGGTGCCATGGCTCATAAGGTAGAGCGCTCACCTTGAGCTGAAGAGCTGAGGGACAGCACCCAGGCCACGAGGTCAAGCCCCACCACCCACCAGCAAAAAAATAAAGTCACAGATGGATTAATTTCAGCCTTTAATTTAATTTTGGAGAGCGAGGAAATGGATTCAGGCACCTCGAACTGGGGGGAACCGCTATTAATCCTCAGGACAGCGCAGACAGATTAGTGTCCTAGACCAAGGGACTCCCAGAAGGTGCTGGGGGCTACTGGACAGTCAGGGACTGGGCTGCGGGGCTTCCCGAGCTGTCTCGGGAAGGAGCAGCTGCTGGGTGCAAATGACTCTCGGAGCCGCGGGCAGATTTTCTCATGGCGGCTGAGGTGGTTTTGGCATTCGGGCAGCTTTGCTGCTATCGGAAGAATTTCCGGGTAGCTCCCGGGCCGTGGGTTTGTTGATGTTGGAGAAATCTTGTGTTTTTCTTAACTAATTCTGCTCAGAGCCCACGCCTCTTGGCCCACGAGCTCCAGTAGGACATAATTGCGGCTGGACCGAGTTGCAGATTTCTTGGGGCGATGTGCGTGGGGCAGGGCCCAGATCGTAGCCTTGAAACACACACTTGCAAGGGGCAAGCGGAGCGAGGCAGCCGTGGGCCTCACTGGACACGGCCTGGACAATGAACCATGCAACTTGTGCTGGGGACGGGAGGGGAAAACTGGGAGGCAGAGAGGGAGGGGGAAGAAAAGAAATGGACTCATCGCCCGACTTACCTGCGACCCCTCTGCGCATCCCCTTTACAATAACAACAAAAATTCAAGAAAAATAACCAGTGCAATTAAAACACCCATACGTTTGCTTACAACAAAGTTTAAAAGTTAATAGCTAGGGGGCTGGGAAGGTGGCTCAGTGGTAGAGCGCTTGCCTTGCATGCCTGAGGCCCTGGGTTCGATTCCTCAGCACCACATAAGCAAAAAGGAAAAAAAAGCCGGAAGTGGCGCTGTGGCTCACGTGGTAGAGCACTAGCCTTGAGCTGAAGAGCTGAGGGACAGCGCCCAGGCCCAGAGTTCAGGCCCCACGACCGGACCCCCACCTCCAAAAAACGTTAATAGCTAGTAAGTGAGCATTCAGGCCTTCTATATATTGGACTATATATATATATATATATATGTATATACACACACACACACATATACTATATATATAAGTATATACACGCACATACACATATATACTATATATAGACTATATATATATATATATATACACTATATATATACTATATATATATAAGTCTCACAGCCTTTCCTTCTTGGGCTGGATTTGAACTGCAGTCTGCAGATCTCAGCCTCCTGAGTAGCTAGATGGTGTGAGCCACTGGCACCTGGCTATATTCTTTTTGTTGTTTTTTTTGTCAGTTGTGGGGCTTGAACTTGGCCTGGTGCTGTCCCTCAGCTCTTCAACTCCAACGGAACATTCTACTATTTGAGCCACAGCGCCATTTCAGGTTTTCTGGTGGTTCATTGGAGATAAAAGTCTCACAGAGTTTCCAGCCTGGGCTGGCTTTGAACCGCGATCCTCAGATCTCAGCCTCCTGAGTAGCTAAGATGACAGGCGTGAGCCACTGGCACCCAGCTAAATATATTCTTTAACTGTAAGAAATACTGTTCTACATGATCTTATGTTTAAACATCACGGTTGTCTTTTTTTAAACACAAATTGCATCCAATCATGAGAGGTAAAAATCATTATTTCAGAGAGATGCATGTTAGATGTTTCGTTATGTTTAAATAAGAACTTGCATTCTTGTACAGTCTTGTTTTCATGTTTTATTATCAATGGTAAAGTTTAATGACCAGCTAGGCGCTGATGGTTCATGCCTGTCATCCTAGCCATTCAGGAGGCTGAGATCTGAGGATCACAGTTCAAAGCCAGCCCGGGCAGGAAAATCCGTGAAACTCTTATCTCCAATGAACCACCAGAAAGTGGAAGTGGCGCTGTGGCCCACAGTAATAGAGCGCTGGCCTTGAGCTGAAGAGCTGAGGAACAGCGCCCAGGCCCAGAGTTCAGGCCCCATGACTGATTTTTAAAAAATGTTTAATTGCCTGCTATTTGTTTAGCATGTAGTTACGGTAAATGCGACTTAAATTTGAGAAAATTCTTCTTCTTTTTTTTATCTTCCATCTCTAAAAGTGGTTTGGAAATTTGGTCACCATGAAATGGTGGAACGACCTTTGGCTTAATGAGGGCTTTGCGTCGTACTTGGAGTTTGGGGTCACGAGCCACTTCAACCCCACGCTCCCCAAGGTGAGTGCGCCCCGACGTGTGTGCTGAAAATGGTGCAAGCATTAGAGACCATTCATGGTGTCTTATTTATTTATTTGTCGGTCGTGGGGCTTGAACTCGGGGCCTGGGCGCCGTCCCTCAGCTCTTCAGCTCATGGCGAGCGCTCTACCACTTGAGCCACAGCGCCACTTACGGTTTTCTGAGTGGTTTATTGGAGATAAGAGTCTCATGGACTTTCCTGCCCAGGCTGGCTTTGAACCATGATCCTCAGATCTCAGCCTCCTGAGTAGCTAGGATGACAGGCGTGAGCCACCGGGCTCGGCTAGTCTATCATTTCTTTATCTGTCATCTAACTAGCTATCCGTTTACCTATTTACCTATCTATTGTATGCAAAGGAGGAGTTGGCTATGACTTCTCAATGGTTCTGTCTTTCCTCTTTGATATGAGTTTGTGAAATGATTTCTGGACCTTTGAACCTTGCGTTTCCACCACACCTGGCGGGCTGATGAGGCTCCATCTTTCCCTCGACAGAATGAGCTCTTTTTTTCCAACCTGTTGTATGGGGTCCTGAGAGAAGACCACGCCCTGGAGTCCAGGGCCGTGTCGGTGAAGGGGGAGAATTTCACGGGAACCAATGAGATCGTCGGCCTGTTTGATTTATTCACATACTACAAGGTAAGAGCAGAAAGACGTTCCCTGGGCAGGACCTTGCATCTGGTGCATTCTGCAGAGTAGAGACTTCTGTGAAATTTTCAGCTGCTGGTATGAATGCCCTTGATTTTATTTTACCAAATAAATAGGTTTCAGAAAATGGGCTCTAACCTAGCAACTGTCACCTGAGCCCTATCTTAGACGTTGGGTACCATCTACCGTTTGTTTTTTGGTCAGTCATGGGGCTTAAACTCGGGGCCTGGGCACTATCCCTGGGCTTTTTTTTGCTCCAGGCTGGCACTCTACCACTTTGAGCCACAGTGCCACTTCTGGTTTTCTGGTGGTTCACTGGAGGTAAGAGTCTTACAGACTTTACTGCCATGGGCTGGCTTTGAACCGCGATCCTCCGATCTCAGCCTCCCGAGTAACTAGGATGACAGGTGTGAGCCATCTCCCATTTTTGAAGAAACTCGCTCAACTTGCTGTGCTAAAGGCAAATCCTTTTGGTTCCCTAGGAATCTGTTATTACCTGTAGCTATTTCCATTTAATAATCCTTGTGAAGAAGGGTGAGCAAGTGTAGTCATTATTTTCAAGGTACATTATGTTAAAAAAAAATGAGCTATGTAACTTGAGGGTAAGAGCAGAAGGGGGAAGGGGAAAGAAAGCAGGAGGGGTGGTATTCATCAGGAAGCGCGGCGGAGGCTCCCGGCTGACTGGTGGAACTGTAACCCCTTTGTACACCTGCTTAATAATAACAACCATAAAACGCAAAAAACAACCTGTGTTTCCTGAACTATTTATACAGAGGACATTTGCTCATCTTTTTCCAATTGATAGCGTATTTGGTGGATAATTCAAGTATCTCTTTAGAGCGTAAATGTGGTCAGAACCCAGAACCTTGCAGATCACCGGGGAGTGGTTTTGGTATGTAGTTATTGAATTTTGTTCAAATAACGAATGGGTTCTTATGTCCTAGGGAGCGTCTCTGGTCCGGATGCTCTCCTGTTTCCTAAATGAGCACTTATTTATCGGCTCCCTGAGGGTAAGTTTACAAGACATTACTCTGTGGCAGTCAACATAAGTTGCTTCGGTATGCTTTTTTGTTGTTTTTTTTTTTAAACATCATCTTCTTTGTTTCCACAGTCGTATTTGGAGGCGTTTTCTTACTCGAATGCTGAGCAAGGTGACCTGTGGAGCCATTTTCAGATGGTGATTGTCATACTTTGGGACATTTTTTTTGGATGAGTTTTTCATCTGACTTGTAGGAAGGCCGTGGTGAATATCACAGTTCCACAGGAAACCCCCATTTCTGGATTTGTCATATTCCCTGCATTGGGGATTAGATTGTCTTTTCTCGAGAAGCCTGGTACAAATTACACCCATGAATGTGGCCAACATATTCTCAGCGAGTGAGTTCATATCTACCAGCTGTCTAACTGCCATCCTCAGCATGGTGCCTGTAACCTGTGCATCGAATTTTTCTTGTCCTTTGTCTTAAGACAGTATCACTACAGGTGGCCACTTGGTCCATGATAGGTTTCATGAATAACCTGGAGATGTTCTGTGGGGAGGTGGGCGTGGCTTACCTGCGAAAGCTGTTGTGGCTCCTGTCCGTGAACCGGGCATTTCAGACCCTGTCCTACGATGAATCCCTCTGGGATGCTCAAGAGAAACCCCGTAGAGAGCAACCGCAGGGAATCGGTCCAGGGGAGTATCACACACTGGGCTGCTGCCTGCCCGAGGGAGTGGAATGATCTCTTAGGATCTTGCTGCTTCTAAGGCTTTGGTGACTTTTCCCGAAACAGGCCATAGATAACCAGACTCAGATCGTTTTGCCAGCGACGGTGAAAGCCATCATGGACACGTGGACGCAGCAGAGTGGCTTTCCCGTGGTCACCTTAAACGCCTCCACTGGTGCCGTGACACAGGAGCCCTTCTACCTGGAGAAGGCTGAGAACCGGACGCTCCTGGCCCACAAGTAGGTGTCTCTGAGCCTGCCTTCGCTGCTGGGGGAAGGAAATCAGTCACCCAGTGGGGGAAGGGCGGTGATGTCACTGTGTGCTGGGGAAGGGGGGGGGGGGCAGAGCCCCGGGGTCTGGACAGCGCCCGCGACTGGCGATCAGGGATCCCAATACGCTTGGTCCGGGACTTAGAGCGCCCTAGTGCTCTAAATATCCACGCTTCATAGTCTGGGTCCGAGGTAAGCAATATGGCGCCACAGGGATTAGCAGCTCTGTCCTTGAAGAATAAATAGCTCAGTGCTTGTGTGCCCCAGTGCAAACATCTTGTGTATACATGTGGCGTGCGTGTGTGCATGCGTACATTGGTGCCTCTTCAAGGCCATACCCAGGATATTAGAATTAAGGCTTCTGTTTAGATACTTAGTCACGTACTGATTTACTAAACCCCAAACCGAGGTAGGATCTTGTGTTAAATTCTCTTAAGGACCCGTGGCCTTATCTTAAGTAGGTATAATTTGATTATTGTTATTGATGGTTGGAAACAAAGGTTGATGAGTAGAAGCCAAGCATTTATCTGCCCTTCCTCTTCTCTTCCCTTCCTTCCCTCCCTCCCCTCCCCTTTCCTGTTAACTTCCATCGCTGTGACAGTTTGATTCTCACGCCTCACTTGTAGTCTACGGCAGAACAAATGAACGATCAGTTGTCAGATGCCTTCGCTGCTGTTTGTCTCCCTGGGAGAGCTGCTTGTGATGCAGATCTTCCTCAGGCTGTGCTTTTGAGATGGGGGAATCTCAGCGGTGTGGATAAACACGGCCTAAGTCCTGCATACCCCAAAGGAGCAACCAAGGAACTTGAGAGCATTGCCTGCTATTTTTTTATGACCTCTTTCATCTTACCTATTCTTTCTTTCTTTTCTTCCACGCAGTGGCACGTGGATTATCCCTATTGGCTGGATGAGGAGCGGAAAGGCACCGTCTTTAGTCTGGCTGGAGAAAGACAGCAGTAAGTCAACAGTTAGATTTCCCACTTCATATGTAACCATTCATGAAGACAGAATGTCAAAATGTCTAGCTATGAAACTCTTTACTTCATTCAAAGATTACAATGTACTGTTAAGAAAAGTAAGCCAGGCACCGGTGGCTCACGCCTGTCATCCTAGCTGCTCAGGAGGCTGAGATCTGAGGCTTGTGGTTCAAAGCCAGCCCGGGCAGGAAAGTCTGTGAGACTCTTATCGCCAATAAACCACTAGAAAACGGGAAGTGGTGCTGGGCCTCAAGTGGTAGAGCACTCGCCTTGAACTGAAGAGCTGAGGGATGGTGCCCAGGTCCTGAGTTCAAGACCCATAACTGACCAAAAAAAAAAAGGGGCTGGGAAGGTGGCTCAGTGGTAGAGCGCTTGCCTTGCATGCTCAAGGGCCTGGGTTCGATTCCTCAGCACCACATAAGCAAAAAGAAAAAAGCCGGAAGTGGCGCTGTGGCTCAAGTGGTAGGGCACTAGCCTTGAGCTGAAGAGCTGAGGGACAGCACCCAGGCCCAGAGTTCAGGCCCCAAGACCGGACCCAAAAAAAAAAAAAGAAAAGAAAAGAAAAAGAAAAAAACCAGAAAAGTGTCTTGTTTTTGTTGAATGTAGAGGTGTTAAGAAAAGTTTCTAGGGGCTGGGAAGGTGGCTCAGTGGTAGAGTGCTTGCCTTGCATGCATGAAGCCCTGGGTTTGATTCCTTAGCACCACATAAGCAAAAAAGAAAAAAGCCGGAAGTGGCACTGTGGCTCAAGTGGTAGAACGCTAGCCTTGAGCTGAAGAGCTGAGGGACAGAGTTCAGGCCCCACGGCCGGACCCAAAAAGAAAAGAAAAGAAAAGTTTCTAATCAAAGGTCATTATATGTTTATTTATTTCTTTATTTGTCAGTCGTGGGGCTTGAACTCTGGGCCTGGGCGCTGTCCCACAGCTCTTCAGCTCAAGGCTAGCGCGCTACCACTTGACCCACAGCACCACTTCCGGTTTTCTGGTGGTTTATTGCAGATAAGAGTCTCATAGACTATTCCTGCCCTGGCTGGCTTTGAACCGTGATCCTCAGATCTCAGCCTCCTGAGTAGCTAGGATGACAGGCGTGAGCCTCCTGTGCCTGGCTGGTTATATGTTTAAAGTAGTACTGTATGGTACGATTTCATAGGTTAACATTCCAGCAGTTTTGTTTATTTTTGGTAGCAGTGGCTCACACCTGTCATCCTAGCTACTCAGGAGGCTGAGATCTGAGGATCGCGGTTCAAAGCCAGCCCGGGCAGGAAAGTCTGTGAGACTCTTATCTCCATTAACCACCAGAAAACCATAAGTGGCGCTGTGGCTCAGAGTGGTAGAGCGCTCCCCTTGAGCTGAAGAGCTCAGGGACAGTACCACGACCACCACCAACCACAAAAGAACTGAGAGGGTATAAAATGTATTGAAACCCTTAACAGACACAGCATCTCAGACTACTCTTTCTGCGGTTGTTTTGTAGAAGTGTTCCCTGAAATGCGGCTTTCAGAGTCTGACCGTGACTGGGTGATTTTAAATCTGAATGTGACGGGATATTATAGGGTTAATTATGATAAATTAGGTTGGATGAAGTTAAGTGAGCAGCTTGAAAGAGATCCTAAGGTAAGGTCACTTGTGATGCTTTTAATTAAGTATTATTATTCATAGTACACGGTCCGCTTTCTTCCCTCCTTCCTACCCTCTCTCCCTCCCTCCATCCCTCCTCCCCCCTCCGTTTTTCTCTTCTCTCTCTTCCCTTCCCTCCCTCCTCTTCCTCTCTGCAGTATCAGGAATTGAATCCAGGGACTTAACATACACTACTTGAGCATAAGTACCACTCGAGCCGGGTCCCCAGCCCTATGGTTTCGTGGTTTTGTTTTTGCTCCTGCTGTCCTCAGCCCAAGGTCCTCTCACCTCTGCCTCCAGAGTAGCAGCGGTGGTGACAGGTGTGTGTGGCCTGCATTCTTTCAGAGAGCGATCTCTGTGGTTGTGGGAGAGTCCCACCGCGAGCCCTCAGCCGTACTGGAGAGTATTGCTTCTTGCGTTCAGGAAGAGGTGGTATTTTGGATGGATCTCCTGTAGTTTTTCAGACGTTCTTCTCGCTTTTCCAAACTAATTTGGGCTCTGTCCGAGCCAGAGTGCACTTTCCTATTCATCATCAGTTTTGTGAACTCTGGCAAGCGCTTCAAATGTTCTATTCCGATTCTTTATTCTAAAGTAAAACGGGAATGCGATCCAGTTACAATCCTGTGATGATGTGAGGTGGAGTAGTTAAAAATATACCTAAGGGCTGGGAAGGTGGCTCAGTGGTAGAGCGTTTGCCTTGTATGCATGAGGCCCTGGGTTCGATTCCTCAGCACCACGTAAGCAGAAAAAGCTGGACGTGGTGCTGTGGCTCAAGTGGTAGAGCGTTCGCCTTGAGCTGAAGAGCTGAGGGACAGCGCCCAAGCCCAGAGTTCAGGCCCCATGACAGACAAAACAACAACAAACAAACAAACAAAAACAAACAAAATATATAATATATACTTAAAATTGAACCCACAATAGATATTTAGTATATGCTAGAAAATGACTAGCTTCACTACGACAATTAGATTTCCGCTTTCCTTCATGGAGAAGAAATGAATTCACAAGACATTAATACGTCAATACAAGTAAGAGCTTGGTTTAAAATATTCATTTATTATTATTTTTTTAATTTAAAGACACTATGAAACATGAAGTCTGTAAGCACTAAAATGTTGTCTGGTTCTAGGAGTAGGAGTTCAGTTCCCCGCTGGCTGTGTTGGAACCTTCAGTTGACTCTTTTAAGTATGGTCGCCTACCTTATTTTTTCCCCCATGCTGTGTTTTGGGAAAACTCTGCTGGATGATTCCAGAGGAGTCAATGATCGGAAACAGATGAGTCTCGGGGAGCATCCTCTGTCCGTCACTTTGTTTTTCTGCACTTGAGATAATTCCCACAGCAGTGATTTCTACGCAGCCCAGATTCTGGAAAGCTGTTATTGTTGTTGTCTGTGAAAAACTAAATCACTAAAAAGATGTCCTCATTTTTTTTTCCCTGTTCCTATTTGGGTCTTCATACGCCAGGCCATCCCAGTGATACACAGACTACAGTTGCTGGGCGATGCGTTTTTCTTGTCTAAGTGAGTACCTTTTCTTCTCTCGTGGCTTTGGGTGAACCTCGTGAACTTTATAAAAGACCACGGCCCACAACTGTGAATCTGGATCTGTAGCCTTCGCAAGCCTTACCTGCTTAGAACAGGGGTCCAGTGGGGTATTCTGGTGAAATTTAAGCAGAAAGAATTGGTGGGAATGAACAGATGCTCAGTTGAGAGGTTTTGAAGTTACCCAAGGCTGATTGATGGGCTGCAGCTCCCATTTTAATGAGATCAAAATGCACAATTGTTGATTTGACCTACAACAGATTTCCCCCCACCCCTCCCATATAGGCTTCACTGCTGGGTATAAATGATTGTCTGTCCAAGATTTACGTTTTCAGGCAATAGAACTCGGCAAGCCGCTGGGCACTGTGGCAAAAGCCTGTGTGTAGTCCTTGATCCTCGAGAGAGGGTTACCTAGAAGATCATGGTTCCAGGCCAGCCATGTAAAAACCTCCTGAGATTCCATCTCAAGCAATAGCTCCTGTAATCTCAGCTCCACGAGGAAGTACAAAGGGAAGGAGTGTGAGTCTAGACCAATCCGCGCACAAAGAGAGACCCTCAGCTCAGAAATAACCAGCTCCGAAAGGGCCGGCCCATGTCTGGTCCAGGCGATGGGGCTGCTGCCCGGAAAGCCCCCAGCCTGGAGTTTTAGGCCCTATTTCTGCTTCCCAAATATTAAGGAGAATGTGTAAGCAGTCACCTCGCGGGATCTCTCTTTGGTCAGTTGCATTTCCTGAGTACCTGTCGGGTCTTTACTCGGTTTCCCCTCCCGTCACCGGCAGGAAATTCTGATGCGCTATTAGTTTGCTGAAACACCTAGTTCTGTTCCCTCTCGGGTCTGACGTCATTTCCCACCCCCCAGAGCGTCGTTCAGACCAGTCACAGCCGTGTCATGTTCTTCTTTCCTTGGGATCCCTTGTTCTCTCTAGTGATGTCAGTGGCCACTTCTTTACGAGTGTGTCCGCTGCTACCGGGAAGAAAGAAGTATAGTGAATGTCCACAGGGACATTTTCTTCTCGATTTCCCTCCCGTATTTCCTTTATCAGGGCCTGGGTGCTGTCCCTAAGCTCTTTTGCTCAAGGCTAGCCAACAGCGCCACTTCTGGTTTTCTGCTGGTTCACTGGAGATAAGGCTCTCAGGGGACTTTCTGGCCAGGGCTGGCTTTGAACCTCGATCCTCAGATCTCAGCCTCCTGAGTAGCTAGGATGACAGGCGTGAGCCACCGGCGCCCAGAGGCAGTGAAGTTTTAGGCATTACTTGAGTCATGTTCCGGCTGCTACGCTGCTCATGACACGTCCGACATAGGATGGGAACTGTTATCTTCTGGAGTTCTGGTTTAATGTGAATAAGCCAGGCCCGCGTTGAAGTCAGGTGTTGAGAGGCAGGTGGCATGGTGCCCGCCCTGAGTTCGAACTCCGAGACTGCACGCAAAGAAAAGAACTACAGAGCGAACATGGAAAGGGTGCGGTCCACACAGTGGACTTGAAGGCGTGTCTGAGTATGTGTGCTTCCCAATCGAACAGGAACAACTACGTGGAGATTGAGACCGCGCTCGACCTAACCAAGTACCTTGCAGAAGAAGATGAGATCATCGTGTGTCTTGGTAAACTTGGACACCAGGCACCTTGTTTCTGATGCCAACAACTACGACTCACACCTGTTACTGAAGGTAATCGTGCGTGTCTGGTATTCTCCAGTAAGTCCCTCTCCCGCTCACCTTACCCCAGCGGGCGTCTTCATGAAAGGACTTTCCCAAAGCAGTGGCCTATTCATTTCATTTCATTTTTTTTTTCTTTTTGTCAGTTGTAGGGCTTGAACTCAGGGCCTGGGCGCTGTCCCTGACCTTTTCAGCTCAAGGCGAGTGCTCTACCACTGTGAGCCACAACTTCACTTCTGGCTTTCTGGTAGTTCATTGGAGATACGAGTCTCACGGCCTTTCCTGCCCAGGCTGGCTTTGAACCTCGATCCTCAGATCTCAGCCTCCTCAGTAGCTAGGATGACAGGCGTGAGCCACCAGCGCCCGGCCTCATTTTCTTAGATATTTTTAGAAGAAAACAGTTTAGGTATAGACCTGGTCTAGAAGATGAGTATGAAATAAATCTGGAAGGGTTGTTTGTTTGTCCATTGTGGGGATTGAACTCAGGGCCGGGCCACTGTCCCTGAGTTCTTTGAGCCATAACGCCACTTCTGGTTTGTAAGTGGTTCATTGGAGATAAGAGTTTCAAGGAGACTTTTCTGCCCAGGCTGGCTTTGAACCACAATACTCAGCTTTCAGCCTCCTGAGTAGCTGGGATGATAGATGTGAGCCATTGGCACCTGGTTTGGGTTCTTTGTTTTTGGTAAAGTGACACTGTATCCTAAGAATAACATAGGCTATTAGTTTTTCCTCATAGGATAGTATTTATTTGAAAATGTTTTCTGTTAGAAATGTACACCCGTATATGTATTTATGACTATATATACACACTTACTTGCTTATATGAACATCTGTAATCAGTATACAGGTGCATAGAGATGTATGGAGTTAGGACAGAGTTTCAAGGTAGAGAGGTTTTATATTTTTTCATGTTCTTCCTCTGTTTGGCCTTGGCGTTGGTTTTAAGGGAGAAGCAGCTGCCACGGACAGGACCCTGGCTGCGTGCTGTGCAGTTCGCATACAGTAGATTGTTTGATCGTCACAACACAGCCACCTTGACATTACCGTGGCCAGGCCTTACGTAGAAGGGAGTGGAGCCTAGAAACATTAGCGTCACCTTTATTCCACAGGATCACGGAAGTGCCTGCCAGGTCTCTACGGAGTCTCAACTAACCACGTTACCTCCCTTGTGGTTTCCAGAAGTATCTGCTGAAGAGACTCCACCCCATCTGGGAGGTGTACTCGGCGGTCATCCGGGAGAGCCCCGCGGCTTTGGAAGATGACTTTCTGGCTCTGTAGGTATTTCCAGGCAGCGATCACCGGTCGGATGCCTGCGGTTAGCGCCTGGCCCTCCGTGTGTGAACTACGGTCTAGATGAGCATTACTCGGTCGAGAGCGTCTGTGAGGCTTTGAGGGATTCTAGTTTCAGCTACCTGGATCCTTCGACGACACAAGGACGTGGGTCTTAATTTGCCTGCTCTGTGTGTGTGTGTGTGTGTGTGTGTGTGTGTGCGTGCGCACACATACACAGCTCTGTATGTTCACACCGCGGGTTACTGGCTGGGATCACCCAGTGCCTTCACGTTGGAGGTGGCCGGCCTTGTGGTTGGGGTGCTCATGGAGGCTGGGGGGGGCAGACCTGTGTCAGCCGCTTGCCCGTGGGCATGTCCCCACTGGGGTCAGTCTGTCCTGATGGTGTGGGAAGAATGAAAGGCACAGGCAGGGGATGGGGGGGGAGATGTGGAATGTCATGGGCCCCAGCTGGAAGGTGGGGAGGCTCGGGTGGGGTGGGCGGGCGGGTCGCTGTGTCCTGTGGATGAACGGGCTGGGCTGCGTGCCGTGGGGAGGTTCGGGTGGTTTTGTGTAGTGCCCTGGGGCCTGGTCGGTCGGTCGGTCGGTCAGTGGGTGGGTGAGTCTTCTCTTGAGTAACCTTGGGGAGAGTCTGCATCTCCTCAGAACTCTGTCTTGTTGCAGGTACTTGTGGGGGTTGGGGTGGGGGGAGAGAGAGAAAAGGGGAGAGAGAGAGAGAAATGAGAGAGGAGAGAGCAAGAGAGATGGGGGAGAGAGGATGAGAGCACAAATGTCCAGAGCCGTCCAGAGGAGCGCGCGCTGGACACTGCCGCTGGTGGTCAGGAGGCTGAGCGTGAGCGGCGTGTTTGGAGGAGATGGGGGGTGGGTAGTGATGCATTTCTAACTTTCCAAAGGGGGAAAAAAAAAGCGAGTCTTTGGAACTTAGTGACCCGGAGGCTCAGTAAATGTTTCTCTGCACCCTAAGTGTGGTTGTCATCACGAAAGCCATCTGTTTTAACAAAATAAAACACCCCAGACCCCGTCCGGCCCTCGTCCTTTTGCGAGACAAGGCTTCGGGAAAGCCGGGGAAATGAAGGCGGTGAGGGAATGCCAGGCTGCCCGTCTCTGTGTTCCTTCAAGCCTGTCGCTGGAAAAGCTGTTCAGAACCGCGTGCTGGCTGGGCCTGGAAGACTGCCTGCAGCTTTCCAGAGAATTCTTCCGCAAGTGGATGAGCCGCGGAGACAATGGGTAAGAGTCGAGCCCCGAAGCCACATCTCCACTATGAGAACAAGCCTTGTTTTTACTTGCTTAATCTCTCTCTCTCTCTCCATCAGATTCTGCATTCTCTTCCCTCCTTTCTGCTCCATCTCCTTCCCTCCCTTTTAAAAAACTATTTACACAAGATTTTATTCGTGATTAGCACCCAACAGTGATACACTGGCTTTCCCTGTGATAATCCGATAGGAACAAGTTTTATTCTCCAAAAGCGCTCTGTTTTATTCCCATGACCGCTGTTTCTTCCCTCCTTTTATCTCCCGCCTCCTCTCCCTCTCCTTCCTTCTCCCTTCCCTTCTTCCCCCTCCTTCCCCCCCTGCCTCCTCCTCCTCTCGCTCTAATTACTTTGCAAATAACCTTTCTAAAAAAAGCACTGATTGTCGAAGTCAGGTTTGCGCAGTCACAGAAGATTGGATTCACACAGAGCATTCCCCCACGATGGGCCACGGCTGGCTGCTACATCCTCTCAGTAAATGATCAGTGTAGTCGCTAGGGTTGGTTTGCATCTTCACAGGCGGTTCTTTTTCATTATTTAGTTAATGTTATATCTGTGAACACGTATCAGGGCCTAGCGCCTCCCCTCCCCCCTCCTCCCCTCCTTTTCTACTCCTCTTCCTTCCCCTCTGTCTGTCTATCTCTGTCCCTGTCTGTCTGGGTCTCCCTGTCTGTCTCTCTGTGTCTGTGTCTCCATGTCTCCCTGTCTCTCTGTGTCTGTCTCTGTCTCTGTGTATCGGTGTCTGTCCGTCTGTCTGTCTCTGTCTCTGTGTATCCGTGTCTGTCCGTCTGTCTGTCTCTTCTCTGAGTTTCCGAGTTGAGCTGACTGCCCCTCCTCTCAGTACCGACGCTGACTGCAGTTCCCGCAGCTCCGTCCCGGGCTGTCTGCATGCGATCTCACGCCTGAGGACTCGCGTGCTCTGGCTAGACCCATGCGTGGAAGCGCGCACTCACGCGGGGCACGCTGCCTTTCAGGATTCCGCGTCTGATCAGGGATGCGGTGCTGTGCTATGGCGTTGCCCGGGGAGGCGACGAAGAGTGGGACTTTCTGTTCCGAGTCTACGTGAACACCACGAGCGAGGACCACAGGCTTCCTCTGGCGTACGCCCTGAGCTGCAGCAGGGACCCCTGGACGCTGAACAGGTGAAGGCCCAGCCTCGCCCCGGAGTCCGGCCACAGCCTCCTCAGCAGGAGACAGACAGAGCTCAGGGTGCCTGCCTGAGCCCCTCGCGGACGCCGCGTTTGCTTCCTGTACGCCCGCAGATTCATGGAGCACGCCATCACCGGATCCCCCGCCGAGACCAACGACACAGACTTCACGGCCATGGACACAAACATCCTAGAAATCGTAGCGGGGTCGGAGGTCGGCCTGTATGTCGCAAAAGACTTCCTCCTCAGCCACCGACAAGCCGTGGTTGAGAGGTAAGCGGGGTGCGGAGACCCCCTCTTCCCCTCAGGCTGCTGCATGGGCCGGATGAGCTCTGATCGGGCCGGGAGACCGCAGGGCTTTGTGCCGACATCTTCTCCCCTGCACGCTGGGAGGGGTTCTGGCCTCTTGGTTTAGGCTTTCAGCGTGAAGGTCTGATAGGGAATCACCCTAACCACCTCCTCCCTCAGCCCCGCTTTGCCTTAAAGTCAGAGCCCTGCTTGTTTGTGAATAGCGTCTGTTCATTCATTTCACAGAGCAAATAATCGTATCGTTTGGGGAAAAGAAAACAAAAGAGTTCATTACGGCCCTGGTCCAGAATTTGCTAATGTCTCTGATTTTTGTCAGGTTTCCCTCATGTATCTGGATTCTGCGTTTTTGACTTTGTAAAATTTCTTACCTTGTCGAGCGCCGGTGGCGCCTGACACCCTAGCTCCTCAGGAGGCTGAGATCTGCGGATCGGGGTTCAAATCCAGCCTGGGCAGGAAAGTCTGTGAGACTTTTCTCTCCCATGAACCACCGCAAAGCTGGAATTGGTGCTGTGGCTCAAGTGGTAGAGCGCCCGCCTTGAACAAAATGCTCAGGAACAGGGCTGGGAAGGTGGCTCAGTGGTAGAGCGCTTGCCTTGCATGCCTAGCCTTGAGCTGAAGAGCTGAGGGACAGCGCCCAGGCCCAGAGTTCAGGCCCCACGACCGGACCAAAAAAAAAAAAATGCTCAGGAACAGTGCTGAGGCCCCGAGTTCGAGTCTGGACTGGCACACACACACACACACACACACACAAATATTCTTATCGTTAAAAAGTGATGTCTGCTAGCCATCATTGTATCACCATCCACTTTCAACGACATAAGTATTAACATGCATAGCAATATACGTTAATATGTATAGATCAGACATGGTCTTAATAGATGATCTTTCTAGAATATGACCACCATACATTCTTAGCAGCCCATAATTAATATCTCCGACAAGTGCTCATAGTCCTAGATACACAATTGCCTGTCCTGAAAGACCAAGCACCTGAAAAGTTAGCAGGAACTTTTGATAAATTAGTTTCTCCCTCTGAGCCAGGCCTGGAGACACAGCCCTGTAGTGCAGCACTGGGCAGGAAGATTGTGAGTTCTAGGCCAGCCTGCACTACATAGTGAGATCCTGCCTCACACATGGAAAGTTCTGTATTCCTTTGGGAACAGAAAGTATACTTAGAATATTAATCATATACATAATACATATGATATATATGATTAATATATATGATATATAATATATGATTAATAATATGATTAATGATTAATATATATATTAATATATATCTATACATATATAGCTCTCTTATAGAGCAAGACAGTAATGTCCATTCGGAAGCATTCACTGAGCACTCACATGTCCCTGAACCAGACACTGGAAAAGTGTAAAAGGAACCATTTACACTCTCCTCTCTGCATTGAAGGTTTCCCATTCTGGCGTAGGAGGGGTACCAGGATTCGAACTCGGGACCCCCATTCTTCAGGGGCAGGCACCCTACCACCTGAACCATTTTCCCAGCTCCTCTTTGCGTTGGTTACTTTCAGGACAGGGTCTCATGTGACGCGTGCACTGGCCCGGATTCCCGTCCTCCATTTGTGCGTGGCGTGGATGTCAGGTGCATGCTCCTGGGCCCAGCCATCACTCCATGGGGAATCTCACCAACTTTTATTCTGGGGAGGGGCCAGGCTGGCTTAGGATCAAAATTCCCACACTTGCCCCTTGCCAGTAACAAGGACTGCGGGCGCCAGTCACTGCGCACGGCCAACGTTTGCGGTTTTCTTTTATGATGGGCGACTGTATCAACACACAGCGAACTCTCGTGGTCCTGTCTGTGAGAGTCTGTTTGAGTTCTGTAATCCTGCCAGCGAGCCATCTTCCTGCTCGCGTTCGTGGGTATCTATTCAGAAAATTCACCTGCCCGGTTCTCAGTGTCAAGTGTTGGTTTCTTTGAGACAGGCCCTCCCTGCGTAGTTGACGCTGGATAAACTCATTCACGTGGCTCGGGGCGACCTCCAACTCTTGCTTCCCAGCCTTTCCCCGTGCTGGGACCCCTGGTGGCCTTTTCGAAGTGACTCGGTTGTGTCTGTTAAGTATCAAGGCGGTCCAGCCCTGCGTTGTTCTGTCTGCTATAATAATCTCTAACTTTTCTCTCTTTTTTAATGTGTCCCAAAGTCCTTTCTTAGCTTCAGCCCTGAGTTGGACAGGTATGTATCTGCTTTTTTTCCTTGGTAGCAGCTCTCAGCTTGTGTCAGGTGATTCTGGCTGTTGAAGGCACTGACCAAGGCCCAGAGTACTAATGGACCAAGGGTAATCTCCAGCAGTTTTGGAGATCCACTGTGACCCTCGCTCCCCAAACTCACAGGTCCAACTGTCCAGCACCCGGAAATCAGCGGGTCTGACTGATTTCCTGTTGGCTTTCAGTGTTTGATACTGGCATACGTACTCACCTGCAAGAGCTTGACACGCCAAAATACAACTTTCAGAACGATGTTAAAAATCAGTATTTAGCTGGTAAACCTTTTGTGTTCATAGAATTTTCTATATGAGAGGATGTTCTGTTACAAGATAAAGCTCACCTAGTTTGTATGTCATTTTGCATAGATTCGGGAGACACGTGTTAGTAGGGACCACGTGATTCACCTTTTTCTGCTTTATTTGTTTAAAAAAAAAAAAATCCTTGCCGGGCGCCAGTGGCTCACACCTGTCATCCTAGCTACTCAGGAGGCTGAGGTCTGAGGATCATGGTTTGAAGCCAGCCTGGGCAGGAAAGTCCCTGTGAGACTCTTATCTCCAATAAACCACCAGAAAACCAGAAGTGGCGCTGTGGCTCAAGCGGTAGAGCGCTCGCCTTGAGCTGAAGAGCTGAGGGACAGCGCCCAGGCCCAGAGTTCAGGCCCCACGACCGACAATAACAACAACAAATCCTCTTGGGCCTGACTGCCCCGTGCTGCTTTGTAGGTACGGGACGGAGTCGCTGGAGACGTTGTTGTATGTCTTGGCGAGGACGCTAAGCACCGACCTGCAGGTTGCAGAGGTGAGTTCTGCACAGGCTGCATCTGCCTGGCTCCCACCATGGAGTGTGGGAGCCTCGGAGACAGCCCAGCGGCCACGCCCAAGGAGGGCGTGGTGGGGACTCCATGCTGCCCTCGGCCGGAGACCGCGGTGGACGCAGACTCCCGGCCCCGGCCTCCTCCCTCCACGCTGCCCCTCAGCTTCCGCTCCCCTGCTCCCCACGCCCCGGTAGCGCTGCCTGGCTTGTAGAAGAACTCCAAGGTTTCCTTGAAGCCTGCCTGGCCCTCCGGCTTCTTGCCTGTTACCCGCACCACCAGGGGGCTAAGATTGGCCGCACAAGCCCTCAACACTTGTCATATATATGTATAATATACATAATGTAATATAATATATATTATATATGTTATGTAATACAGTATATATGACTTACAGACTTTGCCACGTGGTGCTTCATCTCCGTACATGTTAGAAGCACCGTGCCTTCGCTGTAGGCTGCCTTCCCTGTCTCTAAACTTCGTTGGATGCTTCCTGATTGTCTTTTAAAATCCTGTTCCAGGCACTTATTCTAGAATTTATTGATTTATTCATTTTTGTGTTTACTTTTTTTTTGCGTATGTGGCACCAAGGAATTGAACCCAGGGCCTCATGCATGCCAGGCAAGCGCTCTACCACTGAGCCGCCATCCCAGCCCCTATTTAGTTGGTTAAACACAATCCTAACGTTTTGAGCTCAGGGCCTGAGCTCGCTAGGCAGGTGCCAAACAAACGGAGCCTGGTGATCGTTCAAAGTGTCAGGCTTCTGTCCAGGTCTGCCTGGGACCGAGACCCACCTGCTCACACTTCCCACCTACCGCCATCTCGACAGAGATGAAATCTCCCTATTGTGTTTTGCCCGGGGCTGGCCTTGAACTGGGATCTCCCAGGAGCCCTGCTCCTGTGAGGTAGGAATACAGGTGTGAGGCACCAGGCCTGCCCTGGGAAGTTCTTACGTTCATGACTGCTGTCAAACCCTCTCTTTCTCCACGGCCCCATTGGAGCTCACCGACCTCTGCTAGGATCATTGCCTGCTCTCTGGGGCCTCGGCCACATTCACATTCTAGAACACCGCCCAGAGTTCACTGCGTCTCCCGCTTGTTTCTTCCTGTGCTGCATTTCTTCTCGCAAAGGCTTTCTCTGTGCAGTAGCCGGTACGTGAAACCCACGTGTTCATCGCTTGTTCCGTGATGTCTGTGCATGCGCACGTCAGTCGGAGGAAACTTAACTTTCTCCCTGTCTCTCTTCAATTCCTTACCTCCCTCTGGTTAAATGATTACCTAGATTTGGGGGGGGGGTGTATCTACTAGAAATGGGATTTGTCAGCTTGATTTTTTTAAATTTTTAAATAATTTATCATTGATACATAGCAATGTTACTGATTTTTGCTTATCTGCTTTGTATCTGAAAATTTGCTGAATTAATCGATTAGTTCCAGGAGTTCTTTCCTGGACTCTGGAATTGCCTAACTGTAAGATTGTCATATCCGCTGAGTGCCGGTGGCTCACACCTGTCATCCTAGCTACTCAGGAGGCTGAGACCTGAAGATCGTGGTTCAAAGCCAGCCCGGGCAGGAAAGTCCATGAGACTCTGATCTCCCATGAACCACCAGAAAACTGGAAGTGGCGCTGTGGCTCAAGTGGTAGAGCGCTTGCCTTGAGCAAAAAGAGCTCAGGAACAGCGCCCAGGCCCCACAACCAATCAAAATAACAACAACAATAATAATAATAATATCCACAAAAGATCGTCATGTCATGAGCAAACGCTGACAGCGACTACACTATTCAGAGATCAACGTGGACATCTGTAAGACAGAAAAGTGTGATGTAACTCCACTGAGTTTGGGAAGTTGCCAGGTTTGCTTTGAGGTACCTCCGTCCGCCAATCTTGATCTCAGCCACTGTACCTTAAGTTTAGTCCTCACGGAGGACATACGGTGTGTTCTGGAAGAAAGGCCGGAGCCAGGCAGAGCTCCCGATCCCCGGGCCCCCTCTCTTGTCTGCTCTCTGCAGACACGGTCAGCTTTTTGGACGGCCACGCCGCCTGCACGTGGTTTTGCGCTGCGTGTGGGATGCTCGGTGTGCCGACGGCTCTGTCTGTCCTCCCAGCTGCAGCGGGCCTTCGGAAGCATGTTGAGTGAGGACCAGAGCACGGCCGTGCACGCCAGGCTGCAGATGATAAAGAACGAGAATCTGAAGAGCCGAGAGCGGGGGCCCAGGATAGCCGCGTGGCTCCGGAGGACGCGTAGCAGGCCCAAGCTCTGTCGGGTTGTTGGCTCTCTCGGGGAGCCGCGGGGTTCGTTTGGGGGCTGGTCACAGCTAGCAGTCTGCAGCAGTCTGTTGTCATGTTTGAGCCCCAGGCTCAGCGATTCATGAAGGTTTTGTCCACGCTGTTGTACTTTATGCTATTTTTTTTTTTTTTTATCATTTTAAGGAACATTGTACTTCCTGTTGGGCAAGAGACCCACAGATGTTCACTTTAAATGTCTTGTAAAAGACAAAAACAACCCAAAAACAATTGCCTAAGAAAGTCTTGCTGATTCTGTTGTGAACGCCAATAGAACAGCAAATTATTGGCACCCCCCGAGGAACACATTCCTTTCTGATGGAAAGACGGATTTGCAGTCCTCCGGGGTTTATGTAGTTGGAAATGAAAAGAATAATGAGAGCGAGAGCATAGCACGACAGTGTGAAGAAACAAAATCCAGAAAAAAAAAAAAAAGCAATACTCATGAAAGGAAAACAAAACCAGGAGCCAAAGAAAAGCAGGTTCTAAAAGCAAGAACAATTTTGTGAGCTCAGGCGGTTCCCGATTGGAGGAAGTGTGCCATCTTCTGCCCATTTCTCCCACCCTACCCCCCCCCACACACCACACCCTGCTACATTGAGTTATACTTCTCCAAAATTCCACTTTAGAGAGTCGCTACGAGCCAGAGATGGTTGTGGGATCTGTGAAGTGGCCTTTTGGTCCCCGTTATGGGCTCTGGGTTCCGGTGTGAGAATCCACCCGTGGCGTGACCCTCTTCCAGCCCGTCCTGAGGGATGAAGAGCAGGACAAGGCCGAAGGCGCGGCTGGCATGGGCCGGGGGCGCCGGGCTGCCGGTGCTCACAGAGCGTTGTGTTCATGGTTCGAAGCTCAGGAGGGGAAGTTTGAAATGGGGCTTCCAGGTTTGCCCAAACGGAACCTAAATGGGCCCCATTTACTACAAACATCCCCATCCGTGGAAGTGCATGGAATCCACTTGGCTGATTAAAGGCAGAACTTTGCCAAAGCAGAGCTTTGTGTATACAGACGTGGTGTGCACCATTTCATCCCTCTTGGTGGTGGTTTTTATTTTGTTTGGTTTGGGGGGTAGAATGGGGGTTGAAGAAAAGTATCTCCGGCTCTCCTGTTTCCCTCAGAAGGGTATTGTAATAACCAAGAAACACAGTGAGCCGGGCACCGGTGGCTCCTCCTGTCATCCTAGCTACTCAGGAGACGGAGAGCCGAGGATCGCGGTTCAAAGCCAGCCCGGGTCGGAAAGTCTCAGCGGCTGGGAACTCTGGGCCGGCGGCCGGCGGCATATTTGGTCTCGGGAGCTGCCTCCCAGCCACGTGTGGATGGAGAACTCAGAGTCGCAGTAGAACCCGTTTCTGTCTTCCCACAGCTTCCTCTTCCCAGAGGATGCTGGGTGCGGCAGGGTCCGAACACACGGAGTGCACATCTCCGCTTCCCTGGGGCCTCCACGTGCAGGGTAGACTGGGGCTCTCTCCTCCACCACTTCCAGGCCCTGAAGAGGGACACCCACCATCCTGGGTGCCTGTGACCCCTGAGTGCCCGCCCTGGGGTGAGGATGGGCGAGGGGGGCGTCTGTGTGGGGCTGGATCCTGCCCGGCTCACGAGCGGAGGGTATTTTATTGCTATAACCTTGGGCTCACAGCCTGTGACTCAGGAAAGCTGTGATCAGAAGGCTGCCTTTCCTGTAGCTTCTATCAACCACTACACACCTGTAAAATCGATTTCAGAGGCTCCAGGTTTGTCCATATCAGCGGCTTAGTGCGTCATAAGTTCCAACGGCGTCAAGCTTTTGAAGCGCAGTCGCGTGGAATCCATTGCTGCGCGTCTACTGTTCTTACGGGTGGTGTTCTTTGAAGGCAGCGAGTGGTTTTGGCTTCTTACGTGTTTCTGGTTCTGGTCTGCACCTCTCGGTAGCCTTATCGGGAAGGCGCATGCGTGCTTTCTCCAGAGCCCTCCTTAAAGGGCTTGGTGGATTCCAGGGATGCTGGTTACATCCAGCGAGTTCCTGATTATTTTGGCCATTTCACGGGACGAAAGCGTTGGGCGAAGAGAAAGCCTGGAGTTACAAATCTCCTACACCTGGCTTTCATGAAGTCTGTTTGCAGTCGCTTTTCAACTGTGTTTGAAAATCCACGGAATGTATGCGATCCAAAAGTCCTTTCTCAGGACCATATCATGTCGAAAAACACAGCTTGTCCAGGCCTGGGAATCTAGAAGGATTCTGCAGCATATAGAGGGTCCACAATTCTCCCCTTTGTTCGTGTGTGTGTCTGTGTGCGTGTGCATGTGTGCTTGTGTGTGTGTCTGTGGGTGTGTGTGTTTGTGTGTGTGTGTCTGTGTGTATGTCTGGGTGTCTGTGTGTGTCTGGGTGTGTCCTGGGGCTCACACTCGGCCTGGGGGGCTGTCCCTGACCTTCTTTGTGCTCCCGGCTAGTGCTCTATCCCTTGAGCCACAGCTCTACTTCTGGCTTTTTTGATAATTGCATGGAAATAGTCTTTCAGACTTTCCTGGCCCAGGCTGGCTTTGAACTGTGAGCTTCTGATCTCTGCCTCCTAAGTAGCTAGGATTATTGGCACGCACCACCGACACCCAGCCTGTATTTACTTTTGACATGGCTGCCCTCTACTGGCAGAAGAGACAAATCCTAGATCTTGGAGAGGAGAGCATTGGAACTGGTGTGTCTGTCTTGGTGATTTCTAGTGGCCTGGGAACATAACCACGGGGTGTGGTTTCATTAGTAAAGGCGGATGTTTCTGTTCAAGCTTTTGAACTCTTGATGCACAAGGCCATAGGTTCTATTCCCCAGAAGAGCATGTTTTTTTAAAAGGCTCTTTTAATTTTGGATTGATGTTTTTGACTCCTCTGTTGGGAATATTTATTCTGCACATATACGATGCCCAAAATGAATTATTCTGAGAAATATCGTTGAAAGCATCATCATCTTTTTAAAAATGTGAAATCAATGCTTATTATAGGAAGAGGGTAAGTACAGGAAAAAGAAAGTTAAGACACATTCAGGAAGTGGCGCTGTAGCTCAAGTGGTAGAGCTCGCCTTGAGCTGGAGAGCTGAAGGACAGCGCCCAGGCCCAGAGTTCAAGCCCCACGACTGACCAAAAAAAAAAAAAAAAACACATTCAGAGGTATTGTCTATTAATATCTGACAGCTTTTTTTTTTAAACTTTGTGTGTGCGTGCGTGCATGCGTGTGTGTGTCTGCGCGCGTGCTGGCCCTAGGACTTGAACTCAGGGCCTGGGTGCCATCTCTAAGTTTTTGTGTCCAAGGCTGGTGTTCTACCACTTGAGCCACAGATTCACTTCCAGCCATTTTTGGTGGGTCATTGGAGATAAGAGTTTCATGGAATTTCCTGCCTGGGGCTGGCTTTGAACTGGGATCCTTGGATCTCCAGCCTCTTGAGTAGCTGGGATGGCGGGTGTGAGTCACAGGGGGTGGTCTGACAGTATGTTCTAGCCCGGGAACACACACACACACAGAGCTATGTTTCCATTTCCGTTTTCCAGAGGCCGAGTTGAGGTTCACATCACCTTCAGTGGGTTTGTGGCCTTGGTGTGCGGATGTGGGGTTCATGGAGGGGTACACCCCCCCCCCCGCACTGTCAGGTCAGGTCTGCAGTCCTTTGGGCTGGCTTCGTTCCCACAAAGCAGAGTTGCCGGGCAGGGTGGGCGGGGAGGGGGGGGTCTGGGATCCTGGTGAGTCTCGCAGGAAGCAGATCACAGGCCGCTATTCCCCCCCAAAATATGCCTTTGCCTTTCTGCCGGTGATGGGCGTGGGCGCGGAGGTGGCAGCCCAGGCCATGAAGTCAGCTAGATCCTGACGTGCGCCGCTGGCATCGGGTGGGCAAGCTGAGGACGGGAAGAAGGGCAGTGGTCAGTCCCTCCTCGTCGGGGGAGAATGGGTTTCACGACCCTAGCAGAGGCCTGGGATCGCCAGAGCCGTATAGCATGCCGACGGCCAGGCGGGTAGTCTGTAAAAAGTGCAGGAGAGCTGGAAGCTTCTGGCTCACACCTGGAATCCCAGCTCCTCAGGAGGCTGAGATTAGAGGATCGTGGTTCAAAGCCAGCCCAGGTGGGAAAGTCTATGAAACTCTGATCTCCGATGAAGCACCAGAAAACCAGACGTGGCGCTGTGGCTCAGGTGGTAGAGCGCTCGCCTGAAGAGCTGAGGGGCAGGGGACTCTGACAGCCACCGGTGCCCTCCTCCCCCTCCCCCTCCCCTTTGCTCCTCCCCTCCCCTCTCCTCCCTTCCCCGCCCGCCCCCTTCCCCCCCCCCCGCCACCCCCCCAGTGGGAACACCTGGGAGACCTTGCCGGTTTTCCCTTGAGGACTCTGGTTTCTGAACAAAACAAAGAACACAAAGCAGCTCAGCGTCTCTCTCCTCCTTCCGCTACCTTCCTCCTTCTCTTCCTCCTCCACGTACAGGTATGTGCGCTCCTTCCTCCTTCCAGAACTTTCCTTCTCCTCCTCCTCCTCCTCACGGAGTCATACTCTGTCCTCCCCGCCCGGCTGCCCCCCACCCAGGGCTCCCGGTGCCCTTGGAGGCCGGCAGGGGAGAGAGGCGGAGGGCAGCCACCGGGACTACAGGTGTGCGCTGTTACATTCGGGGGCTGACCGGTCGGCTCTTGAGAGTTCTCATTCTCAGATCAGAATGGAAACTGAGGCACTGGCTTGCAAGGGCTGAGGGGAAGGGGCGGGAGTCCAAGAGAAACAACGTCTACTCTCAGTACGAGAGCTGAGTGCTTTTGAGGAGTATGCTCCGGACCAGGTGGAAGAGGCCGGGTCCTGCGTGCTCATTCGAGTGTCTTCTTTTTGTTTATTTATTGTTTGTTTATTTATTTGGTGGGTTGTGGGGCCTGAACTCTGGGCCTGGGCGCTGTCCCTCAGCTCTTCAGCTCAAGGTGAGCGCTCTACCACTTGAGCCACAGCGCCACTTCCAGCTTTTTCTGCTTATGTGGTGCTCCGGTGGCTCACGCCTGTCATCTTAACCACTCGGGAGGCTGAGATCTGAGGACTGTGGTTTGGAGTCAGACAGATCCAACAGTCTGTGAGCCCCCAAAAGCCAGGCATGAAGCTCTAGTTCCCTGGTCCAGCACTAGCCTTGGGCAGGAAGGCTTAGGTATAATTGCCCAGGCCCTGAGTTCAGTCCCCGGGATTGGCATGCACATGCTCACATACACACACAATCGAGGTCAACTTTTGGTCCAGAGTTGAGCCAGAATATGGTTCTGGCTTGGACAATTTTCAACCATCTTTAGAGGTATGTAGGAAAAAAATTCGTACCGTTGATGACGCGTGCTAAAGGTAGGAGTGACCCCGTGGTGTGACCCCAGGGTGAGCACAGGCACCGGCCCTTGGCTCTGCCCGGGGGGGGGGGGGGGAAGGGGGGTCGCATCCCAAGTCCTCCCCCGGAGGACTTTCTCACAGCTACTAATCGATCCGTCCACACTCTGATTCTCACATGGCTCCATTCGGCGGGGAGGCCTTTAGAAAGCAAAGGCTCAATGACGCCCAAGCCAGACAGGATTGGTGGCCTGGGAAGAAGAGTAAGGCAGAGATCTCTCTGTGTGGGTCGGTGTGCACACACCAGGGAAAAGAAAGCCAGGGGGCTGGGAAGGTGGCTCGGCGGTAGAGCGCTTGCCTTGTATGCATGAAGCCCTGGGTTCGATTCCTCAGCACCACATAAGACAGAAAGAAGCCGGGTGTGGTGGCTCACGCCTATCATCCTAGCAACTCAGGAGGCTGAGATCTGAGGATTGAGGTTCAAAGCCAGCCCGGGCTGGCTCCAATAAACCACTCAGAAAACAGGAGGTGGCGCTGTGGCTCAAGTGGTAGAGCACCCTCCTTGAACTGAAGAGTTGAGAGACAGCGTCCAGGCCCAGGGTTCAAGCCCCAGGACTGGTCAAAAAGAAAAAAAGAAACAAACATACAAACAAAAAAGCCAGGAGGATGTAGCAAGAAGGTAGCTGACAGCAAGCCAGAAACAGAACCCTGGTCATGATCGAGTCAACCAATGGCTTGGCTCTCGGGAGTCCCCGCTTCCGGAACCGTGGAACTCAATGTCTGATTCTGAGCCCGTCCCGTTGATGGGACTTTGCTGCAGCAGTTGGGACAGACCGACCCTGGGACTTCTTCCACGTGCATTTCAGAGTCCAGCCTCGAGCTGGTCTTGTTGTGCCTCTGCTGTGACTTTTCCTCAGTTTACCCTTCAGCTGTGAGCTTCTACAGAGCGGCTGGAGGAGGCAGACTCAAGACCACTTGTCCCTTCCTAGGCTCCTTTCTGGAAATGTCTGTTTCTGGGTCTCAGTTTCCTCGTTGGTAAAATAGAAAAGAGTAATCTCCAGTTCCCAGCCTTGTGGAAATTCCATAGAGGAACCAATATAGGATGGTTCGAAGGGTCTTCAGCACATAGCAGGTGCTTTAAGAAACTCTTAATCTTACAACCGTGACTGTCACAGGAGTTTGGTTAAATGTGATATTCACAGGATATTTCTTAAACCCCAGCCTTGTGTTAGTTCTGGGCTTGCCGGGATTAAAGGAAGGTGTGACAGTGCTCCAGAAAGGCTGGATATCTAACAGGAGACTGGCCTGTAGAGCTGGCCATAGAAGGAAAAGGAACATTTTAGCCAGCAGGTCCCTGGCACAGCTCAGATTTCCCGTTTACAGTGAGGATAAGGCCCGAGGGCCGCCCTGTCCGTCTGTGAACGACTCCTTCCAAGCCAGTCTTGCTAGGTGGGAAAATGTCAGCCGTCGGGTGCTTAGTGAGGCAGGTGATTTCTATTCTGCCTCAGTGGCTTCTGTCTCTGTCACGGATCCAAACGCTCCGTCCGTGTTTATGACTCTCGTGGCCTGGCTGGGGGTTGAGCGTGTAGGAGACCCCCAGGAGGCTCTTGCTCTTGTTGAATTTCACGAGCAATCTGATGTGGCGTTAAGGCCAAGTAAGAGTGTCTGTCAAAGCGGCTGGCTGCACAGCTGTGGCTTTCCCACCAAAGGCAGCAGCTCCGGCCACGGGTGGGAACATGGTGCCAGCTAGACACCGGGGCATTGGGATGGGTTCACCGGGAACGGGGAGCTGTGTGGTCTCAGGGCTGTGGGCAGCCGAGGGGACCCCGGAAGGATGCCTTCGACCGGACGCCAGGATGTCTGACCACTCCAGAGGGAGCAAGGTGGACTCCAAGGCAGCGGTCACCGTGCTGTGGCTGGGACCCCGGTGCCTGATGATGACCCGTCACATACGATCTAGCTGCGGGTTTCAGAACGACTATGGCTTTGAAGGAAGGAGGAGGAGCAATGGAGTTGTGTCAGGCAGGGAAAAGTCTGGGTTAGGGAACGCTGTGATTTCAGCCAGCAAAGTCACAGATACAGGCGGGGGGGGGGGGGGGGGAAGCGGGGGTCGGGGGTCGGGTTAGGGTCTCACAGGAGGAAACCCTCGAGTTAGAAGAGAGTAAGACACACAGGGTGACTTGTCCACATTCAAGCCCCAGGGTAGACACCTTTGCTTTAGGAATACCAAAAGAAGGGGAAAGGAGGAGTTCTGGATCTTTCTTTCTTAGGTTTCCTGGGACCAACGGCTCTGCCCAGGAGCAGAGAGTTCCTGCAGAATGGTTTTTGGGGTGTGTGTGTGGGGGGGTGAGGTGTCAGGTGTAGCATCTAAGAGGAAGTGAAGATAAAGATGCTGGGGGAACAGACGTGGTTTTCCAGGAAGCCCGGCTTTGAGCAGAAGAGTCCGCCAGAGCCACGCGAAGCCACGCGTGGGCCGCCCGTGTCCACGCCTTTCCGTGCGCTTCCGCAGGGGCTGAGGATGGGCGAGGCCTCACACAGACGCCTGGCCGCGGGAGAAGGACGCGCAGACCGAGGATCCCCCGAGAAGAGCTGCCCCATTGGACAGAAGCAACTGGTAGGGCGTGGCCACAGAAACTCGGGACGGGAGTGTGCCCTTGGGACGTCCCGTGGGTGGGTGGGTTTGGTGGGAAGGAAGGGGGGGAGGGTGTGGGGCTGGGGAGATCTCCCTCCCCCCTCAAACCCGGGGGCTGCCACCCCCGATTCACTGCCTCCTGGCTTGGAATATTCCCTGGATTTCGATCACAGTTTGTAGAGCACACCTCTGCTTCCTGCTACGTCACCGACTCAGCCGATCCATTTCACAAAAAAATGAGAAATAGGGGCTTAAAGAAGTAGGAATTTTCCAGGTGCCGGTGGCTCAGGCCTGTCATCCCAGCTACTCAGGAGGCTGAGATCTGAGGATCGAGGTTCAAAGCCAGCCTGGGCAGGAAAGTCTATGAGACTCTGATCTCCAATGAACTACCAAAAAAAAAAAAAAAAAAAATCCAAAAAACAAACACTAGAAGTGGGATCGAGGCTCAAGCAGTAGAGCATTGAGTGAAAAAAAAATCTCAGGGATATGATCAGGCCCTGAGTTCAAGCCCCAGGAGTGGCCCAAAGAGAAAGGAAGACAGATGTGATTTAAGCCAATTTCCATCCATGTTTATTTCTCCATGTAAACCCCGTGTCTTTATACAAGCTCCAGCGTGCTCGGGTTGGAAGCATGTACAATGAATAAAACTGTGTGCTGTTGTTTTTTGTTTTAGTTACTCAAACGTTCTGTTCACGCTTTCATTTGGGCAGCAACAGATAGAGCGTCAGCTCAGGTGCCTGGCCTTCCAAAACCCCGGGCCCCAAGTGGCAGACTTCAACCCCGAAACCAGACAGCAGAAGAAGAAAGCCCGGATGTCCAAGATGAACGAGTACTTTTCCGTGAAGCACAAGTGAGGCCACCTCTTACTGTCTTTGATTTGCTGCGCTCTGACGGGCATTCATTTCTTGCATTTTAAAGTCGAGTCATTTTAGGTTACTTCTTAGTACGACTTAAATACATCTCTTTTGAAATAAGCAGCCTATGTTTTAAAGTTAGCAACTTTAAGAAATAGCCTGAGCTGGGCGCAACTGGCTCACACCTGTCATCCCAGCTACTCAGGAGGCTGAGATCTGAGGATCGCAGTTCAAAGCCAGCACGGACAGGAAAGTCAGTGAGACTCTTATCTCCAATAAACCACCAGAAAACTGGAAGTGGCGCTGTGGCTCAAGTGGTAGAGTGCTCGCCTTGAGCTGAAGAGCTGAGGGACAGCGCCCAGGCCCAGAGTTCAAGACCCAAGAGGGGGGTAGGGGGAGAAAATAGAAATAGACCAGAATCTCAAATTGATGAGAAAAAAATAAACGTCCTTTCTGGTTTTGAGTAATTGCTTTTCAGTGAGCGTAAGTAGCAAGGTTGTATCATTAGAAAGAGAAACAACCCTGGGAATGACTTTATTAGATGAGTCATGTATGTGCAAACGCGTGTGCGTTAGAAGCTGTTGTTACAGCAGGGAAAGATGATCAGGGAGCGAAACTCAGTCCTGAAGGACGCCTTGCAGAATGGCTTGCAACACTTGTGGAGCTCTCCTGTGTCTGTTTCTATTTTACAAAAGTCCTTTCTCTCCCTCCCTCCCTTCTTCCCTCCTTTCTTTCCCTCCTTCCCTCCCTTTCTTCCTTCTTTCCTCCCTCCCTCCCTCCCCCCTCTCTCTTTTTTTCTTTTCTTTCCTTCTTCTTTCTTCCTGTGTTGGTGGTGGGGCTTGAATTCAGAGCCTGGACGCCATCCCTGAGCTCTTTTGCTCAAGGCGAGCGCTCTACCACTTTGAGCCACAGCACCACTTCCGGTTTTCTAGTGGTTTATTGGAGATCAGAGTCTCACGGACTTTCCTGCCCGGGCTGGCTTTGAACCTCGATCCTCAGCTCTCAGCCTCCTGAGTAGCTGGGATGGCAGGCGTGGGCCGCCGGTGTCCATCTCAGCGGTAGGCTGTGTCTTGTATATTGATTTTTCCTTGTTGTTGTGAAGGAGACGCACGGTGGGGTCACCGTTTCCTCAGCCAGGTCATGAGCGCGTTTCCTTTTGGGCGATGTCACGCCTTCTTTCCCTCCTCAGTGGGATTCTTTAAGAAAGGAGATGGAGTGTCAGCTGGTGTGTGTGTGTGTGTGGGGGAAGAATCCCACCAATGGTGGGCTGGGCTGAGGTGGGAGGAAGGGAGATCCCGCTCCCCCAGGGGCCTGGCACCCTGGGGCCTCCACCCCGGGCCGGGGCCTCCATCCCCGGGCCGGGCCTCCATCCCCGGGCCGGGCCTCCATCCCTGAGCCTCACCCCGGAGGCCAGTCCCCGCCTGCCCGCCCGGTGGGTTGTCTCACTGGTGTCCGGGCCCCGCAGGGTGGTGAAGAAGTACGACAAGGGCGGGCGGCTGGTGTGCAACGCGGAGGATCTGTGCGACTGTCTGGAGCGGAGCTGCCTGGGCTGCTTCTACCCCTGTCCCCGCTGCAACTCCACCAAGTGCGGCCCCGAGTGCCGCTGCGGCCGGCGCTGGGTGTACGAAGCCATCGTCACGGAGGCTGGCCAGGTCATCAGCGCCCTGCCCTTCCCTGTCCCCGACTAGGCCCCGGGCCGGCCCCAAGCACGCCGGCTTCCAGGCTCCGGGCCACGCCGGCATGCAGGGTGGGAGGGTGGATTTCTAGAACTGCAAGGCAGAGGATCTGGGGGGACTGGGGTGGGGTGGGGACCGAACTCGGGGCTCGGTCGGCAGGCGCACTGCTGCTCGAGCCACGCCTCCAGCCAAGAGCCTTTTTCTTCTGTAGAACAGAGACTGGTACGTTTTGGGGCCTGTAGTTAACCTTCGAATCGTCACCTTGACTAGCACTGAGGCAGAATTGCAATTTGCATTAAAAGGCAAGCAACCTTGTGACTTGGCGGTGTTTATCCTTTGTGTGTGTATGTGTGTGTGTATGTGTGTGTGTGTGTGCATGCACTGCTCTTGGGACTTGAACTCAGACCTGGGCGCTATCCCTCAGCTCTTCAGCTCAAGGCTAGCACTTAACCACTGGAGCACCACGTCTGGTTTCTGGTAGTTGACTGGAGATAAGAGTCTCATGGCCTTTCCTGCCCGGGCTGGTTTGAACTGCGATCCTCGGATCTCAGCCTCCTGGGTAGCTAGGATGACAGGCGTGAGCCACCGGCGCCCAACCTCTTCCCTTCAGTTTGTGTTGTCTGTGTTGTAAGAACATTAAAATTCCATTTGGTAAGACCTGATAATATTTGAATGACTAAATGTTTTCATTGGAGAAGGGAGAAATGAAGGCTTGCGTAGTCTGAGGCCCTACCGGTTTACATTTTTCTTTCTAGAATCAGTAACTTTTTTCCCCAAAGGGGAGAGCATTAGGGGTCACCGGAGCCTGGCGCTGGTGGATGGTTGACTGATCACGCTGTGTGTGCTCTGGTGTCTCTGGTGACCGGTGTCCATGGAGAGTTCAGTTCACTCTTCTTTTATCCCTGTTTTTTGTCGTTTTACAATGGCACCATTTTGTCTGGGGTTCCCATACTTCTGTGTGCGTCAGCCTACCACGGGACGCCGGGACACCCGGAATTTGCAATGCCCCCACCTCGGACCCACCAGGTCCCTCACGATGCCCCAGCGTCTCCCCACGCCGCTCAGCGCATTCATCCTCCAGAGTGGATTCTTGCCATCTGTCATCAACCATCTGCTTTCCTAACGCCTGCAAGGGAAAGGGGGAAGCGCGTGGTGTTGTCGCCCTCTGCTGGCCGTTTCTGTGTACCTCGGCTTTTGCCCAGGACAAAGCCGACCCCTATGATGTCCAAATCCCCTGAAAATAAAACCAACAGCGGGAGGATGACAGCGGGCTGGGCAGCCCAGGGCCAGCCTGCCACGCCGGAGGCCCTGGGTTCCAAACCCGGTATTGAAAAAACAATATATTAGAGCTGATGCAATGGACGGTTGGTTTTTTGGTCCCTTCTTGTTTGGAATATCTTCCTCGAAACTTTGTCACCACTAATGCAATTTTTCAAATCTACGGCAGGATTCTCGATCAGAGAGTAAAGGCGCTGTTATTTTTGCAAGTCTCCCGGACACCGAGATGGCCGCCGAAAAGATGCATTTAGCTGAGAAAGTTGATAAAGTATGTGCAGGTAAACTTATGTGCGGGTCACAGGAGCATCTCAGATCAAATGTGCAGCTGGCACGAAGTCTCTGTCCGTCTGTCTGTCTGTCCGTGGTACAGGTGCCCGATGCAAAGGCCAACATGGCTCCTAGCCCCACAGCAAGGGCTCTCTGTCCAGCCCCGTTCCCAGGCCTTCGGTTCTCCTTCTGTCTGTGTGTGCATGTGTGCATGGGTGTATGGGTATGTGTATATGTGTGTATGTACACGTGTGTATGTGTGGGTGTGTGTACACGTGCATGTCTGTGTGCGTGCATGAATATGTGTATGGGTATGATGTATGTGTGCATGTGTATTTGTGTATGAATGGGTATGTGAATAGTTGTGTGTTAAGTCTGCATGTTTATGGGGGTGTGTGTGTGTGTGTGTCCTGGGGCTTACACTCTTTCCACTCAAGGCTAGCTCTCTATCATTGGAGCTACACCTCTGCTTCTGGCGTTTTGGTGGTTCGTTGGAGGTAAGAGCCTGTCTGAGTTTCCTGCCCCATCTGGCTTCAAACCGGGATCCTCAGATCTCGGCCTCCCGAGTGGCTAGGATGACAGGCGTGAGCCCCGGCCTCCGGCCCTGACCGACCTTCCGTCCTCCCAGAGGGTCACGTGGGCGTCCCGATGCTCTCTGCAGCCCTGCGTCCTGGTAGGAATTTCTCTGCTTCCCTCTTGCCAGGATGCCTGTGCTGTCAGACCAGCGGTGTCTCTAACAGGCCAGGCCGGCCGGAGGGGTTTGGGGCGCATCTACCAGGTAGGAGCCTCCCGTCCCAGGCAGCTTCTTCACGGTGGGTCCCGGGTGGGTCCCCGTGACTCACCGGGGCCCTGCGGCTGCTGTTCACGGTGCCTCGGTGGTGCTGGGAGACTCTGAGCCGCAGGGAAGTAGCTCACTGAGCCACCTCGGTCTGTTTATTAATCTGAGCAGTTAAAGGGAAGTCCCAAAGCCTGCATCCGTAAAAGACAGGATGTTGTAGTGCGTGGAAATATGGGGGATGAATCACTTACTTTGGAAATGAACACAAACCATCCCAAGGCAATGTGGAGCAGGTTTAGTAAATGACTGTCATCTACACTGCTACCGAAGAATGATGTTGATGTGTAGATTCCCTAAAGTATTTTTTTTTTTAAATTGGGATTGGACCTACTTTAGAACCTGTATTAAAAGAAGAAAAAAACCCTACACATATAATCAATTCTTTGTTTTCATTAGTTTTGAATACTGAATGTCCTGTTTTGTGAAAATAGTTTGTTATGGGAAACTTAAGTAATACAGAAAGGTGAGAAGCAGGAGGTAGAAAATTACAGAAAGTCTTCCCAGAAGAGAAATGATATGGAAGATGTTAATTAAACCTAATTCTATTAATCACTGTCTATCTATCTATCTATCTATCTACTCACTCCAGTGTGCATTTAACCTCAGGAATACGATTCCCATTTTAACAAAAGTTTAATTTCACGTAGCTTGAACTTTCACTACGTCTTGTAATATTTTCTGAGATTAAATTTTTTTTTGTTTTCAGTCATTGCTTGATTTCAACCAGTAATTTTTCCAGAAAAGAAAAAAAAAAGAGTTGATGAAGATAATAAATGAAAATTAAGCTTGATGATATCTGACTCTTGCCTTGACCGTGCGTAAGTTCGGAAGCGTCTTGGCTGGGCCTGGTAACTCATGCTTATCCAACATTGGAAGACTTGGGTCAGGAGAGGTTCTTTGGTGGTTATTTTTTACTACGCGTCGTGATGTATGTATTCGCTTGGGCGTCTTTCCTTGTTCATTGACGGCTGATTTCTTTTTCCTGCTGTCTGTGGTGTTTCCTCTCCCGCTCAAAATGACACGTTACCTCTGGCCAGACCCGATGGGGACTGGACACACCTGCGAATGCTTTTTCCACAGTCATCGTGGGTGAAAATGACCGGGTGAAAATGACCGTCTAGCACTGCGCTGCAGCCGAGGTGTGAACATTTCCCTTTAAACATCGAGCAGGCGCCCGGGAGGCAGAGGCAGGTGCAAATGGAAACAGAGTGGTGATAACTTGAGAAGCCTGGGTGAGAATGAGCTTTGGGGGGCTGGGGCTGGGGGGGGCTGTTCCTGGGCCATGTGTCCAGGGTTTTCACAGCTCTGTCCTCTGCCCCATTTCCCTCCATCCTTAAATCACCTCCCTTTTGTGGAGCCGCTGGCCAGGAAAAAGGGGGTTCAGATCTCCCAGGGCTTCTGCGTCCTGGTCCGTGGGGTGGAAAAACAGAGCTCTCCTCCTCTCCCCTCTCCTTTTCCTCCCTTCTCCCTTCCCTCCTCCTCCCCACCCCCCCTCCCCCCTCTCCTTCCCCTTTCTTCCTCCCCTCCTCCCCTCCTTGCCTTCCCTCCTTCTTGAAGATGGGATTGTGGAAATGTAACTGCATTCCATCCACTGTTTTTGTTTTGTTTTGTTTTTAAATCCCATGACCTCTTCTTTAGGAGCCCAGGACTCTATGTTTTTTGTGTGTGTGTTGTTTTCCCGTTCATCTCTTCCCAATCTGGACAGTGCTCTTAATTTTTTTTTTTTTTTTTTAGGAAAGAAAAAGTTCCTGGAGTGTTGCTCATCCATCAGGAAAAAAATGAAATGCGTCCTTTATAGGGAAATGGACGGGCCTTGAAACACCTGATTTTAAGTCTCAGACAAGAGATCCATGTGTTCTTCATATGGGGTAGTTCATTCTAAATCACACCCCCCACACACACATACACACACACACACACACACACATACACACACATACATATACACACACACATACACACACATACACATACACACATACACACCCACACCCACACCCACACACACATATACACACACACATACACACACATACACACACACATACACACACATACACACATACATACACATACACACACATTCACATACATACACACACCCACATACACACACGCATACACACGCATACACGCATACACACATACACACACATACACACACATACACACCCACACCAACACCCACACACACACATCCTCTCGGGTACACACAGGGGAGTCGCCCAGTGCTGTGACTCCTTTGAACAACTATGGCTTAACACAGTGGGGCAGGTGGGGTGTGTCTGGGGCAGGTGTGGGTGTGTCTGGGGCAGGTGTGGGTGTGTCTGGGGTGTGTGGGTGTGTCTGGGGTGTGTGGGGTGTGTCTGGGGTGTGTGGGTGTGTCTGGGGTGTGTGGGGTGTGTCTGGGGCAGGTGTGGGGTGTGTCTGGGGTATGTGGGGTGTGTCTGGGGTGTGTGGGGTGTGTCTGGGGTGTGTGGGTGTGTCTGGGGTGTGTGGGGTGTGTCTGGGGTGTGTGGGTGTGTCTGGGGTGTGTGGGTGTGTCTGGGGCAGGTGTGGGTGTGTCTGGGGCGGGTGTGGGTGTGTCTGGGGTGTGTGGGGTGTGTCTGGGGCAGGTGTGGGTGTGTCT